TGGGGTCGACAACCGAGCCGGCGCATTTTGCTGGATTTTTTCACATAGCGGCAGAATATCAATATGAATACATGCCCACAGAGCGTGCGCTATTGAGATCAACTCGACGACAAAACTCATCAGATGCCCGTCGCGATGCGGGAGTTAAGACCGCAGTTTGAGCCAGCGGCTCGAATGTATTTGGCCCTGTGTCTACATACAATTCACCCTCATCCACTTCAGGTGAGTGAAGGTGAGGGAGAAAAGTCCTCGACTTCAAATGGCCGCTCTGTTGCAAAGGCAGCTACTTGCGTCACTCCAGTCTCTCTCTATTTTAGAGTCTGACAGCAGCTGTCACTCACGGCGGGTCTCAGGTGCACGCCCCCTAGCCCCGCTGGGGTCTGGCCATTTTTTCAGCATTTTTCAAATATTGCTAGTGGGTGGAGTCAGGCTCTGACCAGGGGTTTAGTTACCCTTTAAATCATTTATCAACACTGCAACATGCAGTAAAAAAAAATGAGAACTGAAATTTCGATTTCATGGAAACAAACGTATCATAAGAATCTGAAAAATATATATAAAATAACTTTGCACATATGTGAGCGTACTCGTCTTAATCATTATTTTAGAAAGGTAAAGGTTAGGAGTTTTTATTTTATTTTATTAATTCATATCAAATTTTTGAGGCATGAGGCACATGGCATATTACAACTAACCATTTCTAGTAATAAAAAATTCAAACTATCTGATATTTTTAAGAGACTTATTTCCCCCTCCTTGTGAAGAAGTGCGCTTAATTTTATTGTGTCATTTTATGTGCACTTGTAGACTACTTCAAATCTGAAAAGTATATTTTTAATAAACTGTGCTCGCAGATAATATAATATTAATTAAATAAAAGGCCACTTAAGTGTACTTACAGTATAGAGAGTACACTAACATGACTGTTTCTTAACACACTAAAATACACTTTTAAAAAGTGCACTTTGTAATTATGTCAAATTTCAAGTTTTATTTTAAAGTACATTTTAACAACATTTTGTTGTGTTTTAATGAAGTACACTTATTTTGATGGGTCAACTAAAACACATTATAATGTTATGTGTTGACATTAACAGCATATGCTCTATTCAATATTGCCTGGTTTCACAGACAAGGCTAGTCAAATGCATGTTTGAGCTGTTTTAACTGAAAGCAACTTGCACTGACATTTCTTAAAATATATACAATGCCATTGTTTTGTCAAAGCACTCCAGTAATGTTTTTTACAGCACGTTTATAAAAGCTAGCAACGTGTCCTAATTGAACTAAGGCCTAATCCTGGCTTAATTTAAACCCTGTCTGTGAAACCAGGCCTGTATGTATGTACTAACTTGCAACTTGCATAATCATTACAAATGTTTAATTACAATGTACTTAATACAAACAAGTTAACAGAATGACATTAAAAAATATTTTAGATTGCCATTAACGCTTGTCAGGACATTCAGCAATACACACAAACTTAAAAGACAATAGAGTTATAAAACACTTAAATTCAGCTAACTGCCTTTAACATGCAACTGAATGTCCTAAAACATTACATTCAGTTTGCACTTATATATACCTGTAGCCGTATATACACTTAAGTACTCTTCTAACTAAACTGTACTTCTTTTTCAAAATGGTTTGACAGTCAGGAAGAAGGGTCAGCAAGGCTTTTTTTTTTTTTTTTTTGCATCACATGATTATATTACACACACACACACACACATATATATATATATATATATATATATATATATATATATATATATATATATACAGTATATAGAATACATTTTAAATGTTATCTAAAACGTATCTTACATAATATATAATTTTAAAGGTCCAGACAAAAAGAGCATCATGGCATTTCTCCTTTCTGTCAAACGAGCACATGGACATGTCAGTCAGCAGTTGAAAATCATAGTGATTACCTGCTGTATAAGGACTCGAATGAGCTGTTCATGACCACGACGAGCCTGCAGACCCTGTCGCACATATGAGGACGAGACCAATTTTTCGCTCAGGATGAAATTTTCGTTGTTCATGTCTTTTCAGTCTTTACAAAGCGCTGTAGGTGAATATGTCAGTGGTGACAAGCGCGTGCTGAGTGACGTGCAGATTCGACCAGCTGCTGCGTGACACTGAAGTTTGTCGCTGTATGTCTAAACAGTGGTTTCAGTAATGTGCTTGCGTGACTCTTTCGCTACGGATAGGCAAATGTTAGGTTAAACATTTTCTAATATCTCTGAGTCAGCATGAGTTTCAAAACGATCAGCTTGAAATGTTGTGTTTACTTCCTGGTCGAAACTCCACCCATTTAATGACGTCTGTATTTCAAAGTAAAAGCCCTTGACATCAGTCACACATTTTTCTATAATGAATCATGATTAATCGCATCTAACATTCAAGATGTTTTTTTATTGTAATACTTTGTGATTTAATCTTCATATTAATGTAAAACAACAAAGTATGAAACCTATATTTTTAATGGCATCGTTTTATGAAAGAAGATCAGTATCACGATACAAATATTGGTATTGATGTCTCTATGAAAGTGATTTTTTTCTCAATTTTTGCCATTAATTATACGCATTTAGAAACATAATTGAAAGCTAGCTATATAACATTTGTTATGCTTCAAATAATAGAATAATTTTTAATTTAAGTGAACTTCTGTGAAAGAATCTTATAATTAATGTCACATTTACTGGGCTCAATTTAAAATAAAATAAAAATTCATTGCCCTGCCCCTGTTAACCATAAAAAAGTTATTGTTTTCATTGCTGTTGACCCATGTAACCTTTTAAACAGTAGGCCTACACTGTAAAATATATATATATATATATATTTTCAAGATTTGTTATCACACCATTTTTTTCTTTTGTTAAATCAACTTAAATAATTTATTTAGTTGAGATAACTTATTATTTTGAGTTTCTGATTATTAAATTAATCTCCTTCATTTTATAAACACTTTTTTTCAGTTCAATCAACTTAAAATTTTAAGGCAACCAGGTTACTTGCTTTTTTAAGTTAAACGAACAATAGGTGTAACAGACCTGTAAGATACAGAAATTGAATAAGTTCAAACACTTCAAGACAACACTTCAACAAGTCTTCTCTAAATAAATTATAAATTAAATATAGATTAATCCTTATTAAAGCTACTAAAGTTAATAATAAAGTTATTCAGTCAAGAGCAGTGAGGGATTTTCTCTTTTGTTCTTTGATTATCCTTGATGACAGACAGGTTTATTAGACTTCTGTTACTTTAACTGCGGATTACTTAAACTGCTGTTACTGAGAATCTGAAACACATTTTCTCACAACTCTTTACGTTAATTTAAGACTTAATTTAACTGTGCTTGAAACAATACTCAACAAAATTGGCATTTTGGCATAAAATTGTTTTTGTCCATTATAGGCTAAAGCAGCTTGTGGAAAAACGTGTCACACTGACATGGGTTCACAGACTTGCATGACAGTGCACTGTGTTTGTGTGTGTGTGTGTGTGTGTCTTATAGTAGTTTAAAAGCATTTGTATTTATAAGAGCGTGATCATATGTTGTAACCAGCCAAAAGATGATAGGAGAAACCGGATCCTGCATTAATTGTGTTATTAACAATTAGGCCTATTTTATGTTATTAATATAAGTCTTATTTGGCTCTTATCTCTCCGAAGGATGCATTCTCCAGAGGGAGCATGTCTTATTTCAGAACATATATGGATCAACGTTCGTGGTGAAATAATGCAGACTGTGAAAGGGAATTGCTGCTTGTGCCTCCCACAAACAGAAGTGTTGATATCACTTATGATCTCTCATATTCAGGTGGCCATACGCAAAATCCCTTTAAAGTTGTATTCATATCCTGCGTATGCCATTCTTTATTTATGTTGTAAAGTAGCCTGATTGAAAACGCAACGCAGAGTTTATGAAATGGTGCAAAATAAGATGATATTTTAGAGAAGTATTGGCTGTTGGTGGTGCTCGAGATTAATATGTCATTTTGTGTTTCTGTGAAAAATAGGCTAACAATAATGAAGAACATACTAGGCTATATGTAAAATGTTTTTATTTAAAGATGGCCTCCCTTTTCACCAAAGTAGAGATTTCATGTCTTTGAGTGACTGGATGTTGACAATAGTAGGCCTAACGTTCATCCAATCTTGCCGAAATAACACAGACAGTGAAAGGGTATGCCGCTAGTTCCGATGGGTTCCGATCGGTTCCGATCAGCGATCAGCCGACAAAGGATTCTGTTTTTAAAGCCTTCCGCGAACAGAAGTGTTGATCTCTCATATTCAGGTGTCCATACATAACATATTCCTGCGTATTCCATACATAGCCTATTGACTTTACGAGACAATCTGGGTTTAAGACGTTTTGATGTCTACGGTACAGAATGGTGCAACAGGGGCGACTGGCCCCTGTTGAAAACCGTTCACGTGTGCCAGATGTTGGCAAATATTAATATTTAAATAAATAACCCTTTATTTATTTATTCCCCGAAAAGATTGCAATTAAGTCACACTTATACATTTAAAGTGTATTATTTTTGTAATAAGTAGCCTACACTTTGTAAAAGTACACTAAAGTGCACTTTTTTTCACAAGCGTTCTAACTGTCCTAATAATGTTTGGTATAGGCTAATGTATTTTCTGTTTGTAAAAATTAATCAGGTTAGCTCACGTTCGGTCATATTATTATGGAAGCTGAAAGTCTCAATTTTAGCCTATAATTCACGCAAGAAATATCATTAACACACGCATTGACAATTTCACATAGCCTACATGAAACTTAATTCACGTACACACAAAAAATGTTCACGTGCGTGAAAAAAAATATATTCACAAAAAGTCATTCACATGCCCAAAATAAAATTACATATTCAAAAAATACATTTCACAAGTGCAAAACACGATTCTTATATACAACTGTGCACAAAATCCTTTAAAATGTACGAGTTTATCCTTGATGTATGTGTATACCGAATCGTCAGAAGAATGCCCTTGTGTGTTTGTGTGTGTGTGTGTGTGTTTGTGTGACTACTGACTTTTCTATATGGGCATACCGCTCTTCCCGCGTCGGTCTATCGGACTCGTACTTTTTAGCCAATCAGATCACATGTGAGTTTACCATTCAACCAATCATATAATATAAGCCAGCGGCTGGTACATTGAAGGAGCACGATTCTGCGCACGTTTTGCGCAATATGGATTAATTAGAACTTTCTCTGACGGAAATTAAACATTCACATCGGTAATCCACGGTAATCCAGCATGGCGGACGAAGAAAGGGATGCGCGGGTAAGACTTTAGTTTATTTCATAAAAGTCTGAGTTTACACGTTTCATTGTTTACACATTTAATCAAGACAGTTTCTAACTTAGTTAGAAAACTTAAGTTAAAAGTTCAAAAAACTATACAGTTGTAACAGGACAGTACAGTACAGTAATTATAAATTAAACTTGCAATAAGGATAGAAAGATAGACCTGTAAAGACTTAAGTAACATTTTGAGTGTTGTGAAATTATCATTCTAAATAATCATGTTTCACAAATTGATGTGTTTTAGGTCAGTGTGCTTGCTTGCTAATACATTTAAAAACATGTAGCCTAGTAACAGTTAACATTGAAATGTAGTTCCATCAAGATATTCAGATATTTAGAAACGTTGTAAATATATTGTCTGTACATTTGAAATGTATCTTTCCTTTCTTATAATTTAGGAATGTCTAAAGCAGTATATTCTTCAGCGACTTCGTGATCGTTTAGTTCATGTCTTGGAGAGACAGCCACTGAACGTTGACTACCTAGAGTTTATTTGCAGACAGGAACTAGTATTTATTAGTGCCCTGGCTGAAATAGTACATGTGTCAGAGGACATAATGGTAGCTCTTACAAATCTGAGCAACCTTATACAGCGTCAGAAGGATATGGAGGCTTTGGAGGAGCTCTCTGTATCAATGGATCTGGAACCAGGACATGGACGTGGGCGTCCAAGAATTTCCATTTCTACGATCAACCTCACCCATCTAATAGAACTCGGGCTTCCAACCCAGTCTATTGCAGATTTACTTGGTGTGTCTCGTTCAACACTGTTCCGGAGGATGAATGAAAACAACTTATCTGTGAGAGCTTTGTACAGCACATGTACAGACGAAGAGCTTGATGCCCTTGTCACAGAGGTTAAGAACTCCATGCCAGACGCAGGGTATCGTATGGTTCGAGGGGCTCTACTGGCACAGGGGCACCGCGTACAGTGGGATAGGGTGCGTGCATCCATGCATCGTGTGGACAGCGTTGGTGTTCTTTCCAGGATGACCAACTTGAGATGTTTTGCTCAGAGAAGATATAGTGTTCCTTATCCCAAGTACCTGGTGCACATAGACACCAACTTCAAACTCCTCAGGTATGTCTGCAAGCTTGGTATTATTTAACTTGTATAGAATAACACTAAATAGTCATAATTTATCCTCAGATTTTTAATGTTCTGTTTCTTAACCATGTTTTTTTTTTTTTGGCCAGTATGAAATTATAGTGAAAACTTGACACTTCTGATAAAACCACAGGCCATGTACTTTTAAGTGTTTTTAATTTTTATCAGGTACAACATGGTAATCTTCGGCGGAATAGATGATTATTCCAGAAAGGTAAGACTTGTTTAAATGTTTGTTAATGGTTCAAGCACATAGTCACATAGTATATATATAAAACGCTGCTTGGTGTTGTTATTTAGTCTTTCCCAATAGAGGCCCTTTCCTTTTGCTTCTTCTTCTTCATTTATTCCCAAGAAACTGTGCCTTATCGCAAACGAATATCAAGCTGCTCTCTTTCTCTGTCGCTAGTTCTCTCAGTCTCATAGTCGAAGTAACCATGACAACGGATAGCATATCCTTCCAAGATGGCAAATCTTTCCCACAATGCAATGCGAAATGATACGCGTAACGTCACATTCTCATTCTCAATAAGTCAGTGTACCATCTCAATGGGTTTTGATAATATATTATAAAGGTTGATAAGTTCCACAGTGTGCCTTTAAATAACCAAACTTCAACAACATAAGGGAAGATCCTTTGAGTGCTGTTGATGTGATATATGTGATGCTCAAGTGATCGAGTATTTCAATGTATAAATAAGTTATCCTTCGATTCCTCCGTCCTCATTTTCTATCCTTGCAGTCTTTCCTCGCTTCCTAAAGGGGGAGGAGCTAAGATGTGAGGAAAGGAAACGAGGATGCACAAATAAGAATTGACCGTGTGTGTGTGTAAGTAAGTGTAAGTATGCTTGGTGTGTTAAAGGGCACCTATTATGCCCCTTTTTACAAGATGTAATATTGGTCTCGGGTGTCCCCAGAATGTATTTGTGAAGTTTCAGCACAAAATACCCCACAGTAAATTTATTATAACCATTTGAAAAAGTCATTTTTGGGGCCTGTTTAAAAATGAGCTGTTTTGGTGAATACGACCTTAAATGCAAATGAGCTGCATATCCCCACCCTGCCTTTTGGATGAGGGCGTCACTTGCATACCTATGGCAGTCGGTGTAAGCAGAATGGGTGCTCTTTAAATATTATAGTTGAACCCTTTTATTTCTGTGTGTGTTTATGAATTTTCCATCATGGATGTGTTCTGGTGTCAGCCATACATCTCGGGTTGGCTTAGACCAAAACAGAATTGAACGAATAAAGGTCTTATAGAGCTTGAACCCCAATAATCATTGTTTGCAGCTGTTTTTATTTGCACTGAAACATCTCTCTCTACTACTGTATATCTTCATCTGTATATGTTTAAATATATCCTACAGATTATGTACCTGAAGATTTCAGACAACAACCACTCAGACACCCATTTGGCCTTTTTCAGAGAGGCAGTGAATACACATGGGTTTCCACTGAGGTATAAATTAATATTAAGTTGCGAAACATCTATTTTTTCTATTATTTTATCACATACTTTTGTACTTTTCTGGATAATCTGCTAAAGTTAATTGTGTATAATTGAAACCCATCAAAATGTGTGATGTTTTTGTTGCAGAGTGAGAGGAGATCAAGGCAGTGAAAATGTGGGAATTGCAGAACTGATGTTTTCAGTTCGTGGCACTGATGACAACAGCTTCATTGCCGGTAAAAGTGTGCATAATCAGAGGTAAATTCACTTTTATGTTGGTGCTCTGACAGCATTAAGGGTGCATTCAGATTATGTACTTCTTTTGAATAAATTCTTCATGACCATTAAAAATTTGCTATAGCCTATTGTACAAATTTGTCTAGTATAAATGGAATTTGAACATACCACATTAAGTGTGCTATGGTGTCAGTGCCATTGCTTTACTGCCCATTCAATCCATCTCCCATGGCCTCATGGGATAGTGAAGTGTTCATCAAATGTACACCTCAGTAGATATAGTTGGTAATCTGGGTGCTTTTAACCTGTTTATGAATATTATGAATTCGGACATATTATTATCTTGATCTTCACTTTTTCAGCTCGTTTCGTGAGAGAGACAAATAGACTTGAACCTATTTAAATCACATATGGTTTGCTAAACCAATGCTGGTTGTACTAGGCTAAATACTGTCTTTCTTTTTATACAGAATTGGGCGTCTCTGGCGTGATGTATTCGTAGCGGTAACGGGCATCTATCTCAACATTCTGCACACATTGGAGGACAGTCACCTGCTGGATGTCAGCAACTCCTGCCATTTATTCAGCTGTCATTATGTGTTTCTGCCACGCATCCAGGCCAGCTTGGATGTCTTTTCTGAGGGATGGGACAACCATCCCTTAAGAACAGAACACAATCTAACACCCATTCAGTTGTGGCAAGTGGGCCAGTTCCAAAACCCAATTGTGGATCCAGAGGTAAATTTGGCATCATCCATGTAAAATGGAGGCTAATATTAATTGTGTAAAAGTTTAAACAAAAAGTAATATTATCTATGAAATTTGTTTTCTTTAGAATGTAGCCATTCCCAACATTGAATGGGAGGATAGTGGACACTTGGAGGGTCCAAACCTTGGGGTGCATGTTCCTGTGCTTGACATTTCATTGACAGACGATGGAATGGCACAACTTAGAGAAACCATCAACCCCATGCAACATTCTGAGTCTTTTGGAGTAGACCTCTATCTTAGCACTGTCCAGTATGTTGAGAGTATAACTGAAAGTTAGTCCTTGCCAAATTCCATTTACGCTTTCTTGCCATGTTGTACACCCTGCTTAATCTGTAGGTGTGGAGCTTTAATTTTTCATATTTACCCACTGCACAATATTTATTGGTAGAAAATAACATTCTTTATTTGTAAACACCTAGAGTTTACCAACAGGTGCCAAACATTTTTTCAACATTGTTATCCTTTAATTTTTTTTTTGACATGTGCATGTGGTGTGTATACCAACAGGTATTACTCAAGTTTTCTAAAAGAAAAGTTCAATTCTTACCCTCACAATTTACAGTCAGTGTAAATCTAAATAGGGTCACTTTATTTATTTGATGTTTAAATTTCAAATGCACTTAGGCCAAACATTCAAACATTATGCAGTATGAAAAATTGTTTAAGGTTAATCTAAAAAAACAATCCTACAGATTACATTTGAGTGAACTATTCCTTTGGCGTTAGTTTAATAACAAACATGTTTTAACTGTGTTAAAAGACATTCAAGAGTTTACCAACTTGAAAATAAATTTGATTTAAACGTTTAAAACGTAAAAGTTTGTAACACTTTAGCCTCTTGTCTTTTTTACTCTTAACTTAGTCTAAATTCTTTTCACAATTTCAGAACATTACTTAACACATTGCCCCTTGTTATCTCTTCTAGTTAAATGAGACCAAATCCACTATTTACAGAGATACACATTACCATATCCCTTTTGAATGTGGTGTAGCTCTGATATAGTGACAAAGAAGGCGCAACATTTTGAAACACATCTGAGTAACAGGAAATTTGGCAGTCACCACCACCACTTCATGAATTATATATTTTTTTTGTACATGTATTTTATAAAAGTTAGTTAAAAAAAAAAAAAATATATATATATATATATATAAATCTTAATGTATGTATACTACAACGACCTCCAACATGTCAAAAGATAAATGCACATTTTAATTAGCCAATCATGATCCCTTTAATTGTGTGCGTTTATCATTACAGTGACTGCTCTATAATGACAATATATTGTTTAAGCTATATTGATAAAATCTGTTATATATAAGATTTGTCCTTTAGAGCTTTTCAAACACAAGCATACTAACTTGTGCTGTAATGTCCATTTCTGACTCCCTTGGGAAAACTACTTAGTGACTGTCAAGTCTTTGGGATAGTAGTGGCCAGATACTAGTTTCTTTGAGACATTTCCTGAGATCTTTAATCTGGCTTTTAACACGTCCAAGTACCTGAAAACAAAATGTACAAAGACAGTACATTTACAATACATTTACAATGTAGACAGATACAATAGGGGCTATCCCCTTCGGGGCTTGGTCCCTAATAAAGTGCAAGTACTCACCAAACTAATGGTTTCCTGGTGGTCTAAATCAGGACAATCCTGCAGCGTCAGAGCTGAAGCCGCACAGAACTACCTCTGGTTAGGAGGATTACCAATGGCTCAGTCCAGAAAAACAAGGACCTCCATGGACAATAGAATGACCTATCATTCGGCCAGCCATTTGGAAAAGGTTGCTGTCACGTAGCACAGCAGATGCAGAGGGGACCCGTTTTTTTCCCTCAAAAAGGATTGTGGAAGTTGAACCGTAACTACCCAGGAATCCTTGCGAAATGCCAATCGGAAAACGAATGGGCTTTTGTAACACATGCTGTAACTGTAAACAAGGCTGAGAAGAGAATATTTAAGTATCATTATGGTTTTATGAGGTAGCTTTAAAAAGAATTTTTAATACCTGTCTTGATGACCCATTTCTTGGAGTGGGAAATGAAGGGTCTGGAAGTCTTGGACTTTTGGGGTTTTACCAGATACCTTAAGCATCGAGTCAGTGGGATGTATCGGAGCCTCGCCATGCTGATGCCGCCACGAGTCCGGTGGTCCCTGTTCCGGTGGTCCAAGTTCCGGTGGTTCCGAAACAGAGGAGACCTCTAGCCTCCCCAAAGGCCCGGAGACCGTGTCCCAACAACCCCGCCGAGGCTGATTCAGAGACTGTTCACGTCCCGTCTACCCAGCCAGAGACTGTTCACGTCCTGTCTGCCCTGCCAGAGACTGTTCACGTCCCGTCTGCCCAGCCAGAGACTGTTCACGTCCCATCTGCCCAGCCAGAGACTGTTCACGTCCCGTCTGCCCTGCCAGAGACTGTTCACGTCCCATCTGCCCACCCAGAGACTGTTCACGTCCCCTCTGCCCACCCAGAGACTGTTCACGTCCCATCTGCCCACCCAGAGACTGTTTATGTCCCGTCTGCCCAGCCAGAGACTGTTCACGTCCCCTCTGCCCACCCAGAGACTGTTCACGTCCCGTCTGCCCACCCAGAGACTGTTCACGTCCCATCTGCCCACCCAGAGACTGTTCACGTCCCATCTGCCCACCCAGAGACTGTTCACGTCCCCTCTGCCCACCCAGAGACTGTTCACGTCCCATCTGCCCACCCAGAGACTGTTTATGTCCCGTCTGCCCAGCCAGAGACTGTTCACGTCCCCTCTGCCCACCCAGAGACTGTTCACGTCCCATCTGCCCACCCAGAGACTGTTCACGTCCCCTCTGCCCAGCAAGAGACTGTTCACGTCCTGTCTGCCTAGCCAGAGACTGTTCACGTCCCGTCTACCCAGCCAGAGACTGTTCACGTCCTGTCTGCCCTGCCAGAGACTGTTCACGTCCCGTCTGCCCTGCCAGAGACTGTTTACGTCCCGTCTGCCCAGCCAGAAACTGTTCACATCCCGTCTGCCCAGCCAGAGACTGTTCACGTCCCGTCTGCCTAGCCAGAGACTGTTCATGTCCCGTCTACCCAGCCAGAGACTGTTCACGTCCCGTCTGCCCAGCCAGAGACTGTTCACGTCCCGTCTGCCCAGCCAGAGACTGTTCACGTCCCGTCTGCCCAGCCAGAGACTGTTTCACGTCCCGCCTGCCCAGCCAGAGACTGTTCACGTCCCGCCTGCCCAGCCAGAGACTGTTCACGTCCCGCCTGCCCAGCCAGAGACTGTTCACGTCCCGCCTGCCCAGCCAGAGACTGTTCACGTCCCATCTGCCCAGCCAGAGACTGTTCACGTCCCGTCTGCCTAGCCAGAGACTGTTCACGTCCCGTCTGCCCTGCCAGAGACTGTTCACGTCCCCGTCTGCCCAGCCAGAGACTGTTCACGTCCCATCTGCCCAGCCAGAGACTGTTCACGTCCCGTCTGCCCTGCCAGAGACTGTTCACGTCCCGTCTGCCCTGCCAGAGACTGTTCACGTCCCGTCTGCCCAGCCAGAGACTGTTCACGTCCCATCTGCCCAGCCAGAGACTGTTCACGTCCCGTCTGCCCCTGCCAGAGACTGTTCACGTCCCGCCTGCCCAGCCAGAGACTGTTCACGTCCCATCTGCCCAGCCAGAGACTGTTCACGTCCCGTCTGCCCAGCCAGAGACTGTTCACGTCCCGTCTGCCCAGCCTGAGTCTGTTTCATTGTCTCCAGACAAGATGGCCGCCGCTGAGTTGGTGTTGGTTCCCGTGCCTGAGCCGATGTCTGTGCTCGTTCCTGAGCCAGTGTCTTTGCCTGTTCCTGAGTCAGGGTCTGTTCTTGTGCCTTCTCTGTGGCCGCCTGAGGGGTCGTCTCCTCCCTGGCTGCCCGAAGGGTCTTCACCGCCCTGGCCATCTGAAAGACTGTTGGCTGCTTCGCCCTGGCCGCCCGATGGATCGTCTTGTCCTTCGCCCTGGCCGCCCGATGGACCTTCAGTTTCGCCCTGGCCACCGGCTAAACCGTCACCCCTGGTTCCTGTTCCCCTGCATGGAATTGGCCCCCCATCCCTCCCCCGTATCCTCCAGCGTTCCACCTCCCCCCTGGACTCTTGTTTGTTTTTTGTGGGTCTTGGAGCGTCTGGTAGCCGCTCCGTAGATGTGGGGTTATGTCACAGTGTCTGGTTTGTGTTTCCTCGGGTGTCGGAGGTCTCTTCCCCATACTGTCACCATACATTTAGAAACTGCATTCCCCATAATCCCCATCTGCACTTATCACAGTTTATTAGACTCAGCTGTTCCCTGTCATCAATTGTCCCAGCTGTTCCTTGTCCAGATCATTGGTGTCTGTGTATTTATACCCTGTCTGTCTTAGTGTTTGTCACAGAGTCCTTGTTTCTCGTCACTACACTTCGGTTGTTCTTGTTCTGTCTACCTTGTGTTTTTTTTTCTTGTTTTGGACTGCTTGCCTGGATTTTGACTTCTGCCTGAACTAGCTTGTGAGTATGGATAACCCATTAAAGTCATTGCATTTGGATCTCTCTCTCCAGTGTGTGTTCCGTGACACACGTGGGTACAGTTGAGACAAAAAGCACCTTATTTTTATGAGCTAATTGTGGAAAGTATAACCTACTTATTATTAATTGATAATCAATAGTCAATAATCTTAGTCTACAAGCTAATGAAATGTCATGTGGAAATTCACTTCTTTTCAGTATCTATTTTTGTGTGAAAAATCAAAATGCAAAAAGTGTTTCAACTGTACTCTGTACCCTAAAATGTCTGAAATAGAGATCTTAATGTTGCATGTAAAGTAACACAGACAAATTTTAATTATCCCATTAATGGTTTATTTTCATAAAGCCAGTTTACACAAAAAAAACTACATGTAAATGTTCTGTTATTAAAATAGAGGTCAATCAATTTGACTGCTGAAGTAGAGCAAAACTGTGGCAGTCTGGGCTTGAAACTACAAAACCTGTATTATAGAGCACCTGTCTTTTTTCTGAAGCCTACTAAATATTATAATAGTATTTTGCTCTAAAGCAGGGTTCAGAATTGCCAGGTTTTACCCTCTATGTGCTTTAACAAACAGTAAGTAAAGTTTTCACAATTCAACAGAGAGAATTTGTTGAGTCGACGAGACCTTTTTCACAGCGCCATCTTTGATTTTTAACGGTTATGAAAGCGAGGCTGTGAGGGATAGAAGTACATCTCTTTAGTGGATTGTTCTGCTGATGAAACTCTACAAAAAAGTAATTTCAGTAGACAAAAACACTCAGACAATGTGAGCTCTGGAATATTATAAGTGTAGTGAGCTTTATATACAGCTTATAGTGGATGCCATTGAAAACACGACACGTGCCTCCCTTTCACCGGTCATGGCAATTTATCTGAATAAGTTCTGTCTCTCATTTTGCAAACCCACGTCTGATTCCAAGCGCCGCTTCATAACATTTTACAGACAAGCAGCAAGAAAGTTGTGAAATGGACTTCGGATGGATTTTTCTTAAGTAACTTTGCGTTTAGTAACACAAATAATAAAGACCGGATAATAGGCGCACAAGTGATTCAAAAAGTGATTACACTCAATCTGAGAAAAAAAAAATAGGCACTTTCAAATGTAGAGTATGATAGGCTAGTTCATATTCAACAGTTGATAAATTAATTTATCTGATGCAATATTTGTTCGCAGAGAGCAAAACATTTAAAGCCTTCATATCATGCATTATAAAAGCATTTTAATGTATTAATTATGCCTTGTGATGCACGAGTAATTGTAATCAGTTATAATACTTATCGATTCATTGTTACACCTTCAGAAAGTATAATGCATTAAAACGCATGACAATGAACCAATTTCAGATGTAACAAGGAATCTGTAAATATGCATTTTAACTTCGGTAACAATGATTTCTGAAAATATATAATGCCTTATAGTACATTTTGAATACCTAATATGTATAGGTAATACATAACCATTTTGTGACTTCAAAAAGAAAAATATTCAACGAAATGGAATCATTGGTAATCATAATCAATGTGCACAGTTTTTGACTATTATAATTAACAAAAAGCACACATTATATAAGCAGATAACCTGTAAAGAATGTGCGTCAAAGTTTTTAGTTTTGAGTAATTAATAAGATTAAAAGGTTAATCATTTAAACTTTGATGTCATCTAAACAGTAAAGTGAGAATGCAACTTCAGTTTGGCAGTGCCGAGTTAGGGTTAGAATGGGAAAAGTTCAAAGCATTCATCTTTCATACTTCCCCTTCAATCCCATTGAGCCTCCACCAAACCAATATAATCATCATCTGCACAACATCAGAATCAAAAACAGTGCCTGTCAGAGAGACTGAAGAGAAGTAAACCTGTATCACACAACATTAGACAAACTATTTTGATGTTGACAGCAAACATTACTGTAAACAACAAATGAATTGGTTCTTAAGGAATACAAACAGAAACACTGTCAGGACAAAACATGTAGATGGAGGATATGTGCGTTTAGAGTGGAATGTTCTGTAGAGGGCGTCCTTTCCATCTTAATTTTCAGACATCTTGCGAATCATGTAGTTGAGGATGCCACCATGATGGAAGTAAGTGAGCTCCACATCCGTGTCAAACCTCATCTTAGCTTGAAATGTTTTCCCTGTGTCCAGCTGCAGAGATCAATGAAACACCACATTTAATCATATGGAACTGAGAGAAAAACATTTAAGGCAGTGTTATTTTAGCATTGCTAACATAATTGTAGTATACAGAGTATATTTTTATATTTTCACTTTCAGTTTAAGTTTTAGTGCTTTTGTTATGTGATTTTTGTTCTTTTTATTATTTATTTATGTATTTATTTATTTTGTATTTCTATAGCTTTACTTTCTATTTATTTTTTCAGGTTTAGTTTTAGAAATTTCAGTTATTTGGCAAGGCAATTATTTACATTTATATATATATATATATATATATATATATATATATATATATATAAAAATTCAATATTTATATTTTATTTCAAGAAAGAAAATAAATTTAAATAAGGACATTTTTAATAGTTTTTCTGGTCTCTAAACCCTTCCTTTCCAGGAGCCTACTCTCCTCTGATTGGTCAGATGGTCCAGTCTGTTGTGATTTGCCTACTCTATTCTGATTGGTTAGACGGCTCAGTCTGTTGTGATTGGTCTACTCGCCTCTGATTGGTCAGATGGCCCAGTCTGTTGTGATTGGTCTACTTTCCTCTGATTGATCAGATGGCCCAGTCTATTGTGATTGGTCTACTCAATTCTGATTGGTCAGATGGCCCAGTCTGTTGTGATTGGTCTACTTTCCTCTGATTGATCAGATGGCCCAGTCTGTTGTGATTTGCCTACTCTATTCTGATTGGTTAGACGGCTCAGTCTGTTGTGATTGGTCAGATGGCCCAGTCTGTTGTGATTGGTCTACTCAATTCTGATTGGTCAGATGGCCCAGTCTGTTGTGATTGGTCTACTTTCCTCTGATTGATCAGATGGCCCAGTCTGTTGTGATTTGCCTACTCAATTCTGATTGGTCAGATGGCTCAGTCTGTTGTGATTTGCCTACTCAATTCTGATTGGTCAGATGGCTCAGTCTGTTGTGATTGGTCTACTCTGCTCTGATTGGTCAGAAGGTCCAGTCTGTTGTGATTGGTCTACCACTTGCAGTGTGTGCCAAAAACAAACTGCTCATTACCATATCTGAATTTGAGCTCCAGAGGCTTCCACAACATTTGATTCACAGTGATACAAACAGTAATGATGGTGTCAGTTTTACAGTATCAATGTCATCCTTTGGATGAGTGGATATGCTTTTGTAGCACAGAAAACGGATCACAGACAGCCAATACAGACCATAGATGGGCATTCTGAACATTTGTTACAAACCTACGCAGGTCCGTGCAGTAAGTAGGACAAATTCCTGACGACTCATTTCAGGCAGATAAAAATTTGTTCTTTCTTTTTGAAACTTTGCAGACCCTTTACATTAAAAACTACATGAAATATATTATCCAAAAAAGCATAATAGGGGCACTTGATTTTAAGGACATTTTGTTTTACTGCTGTATACTTTTGGTACTGTGTTGTGTAAAATGTGAGCTTCTGAAGAGAAAGCAGTTGAGAGCTGCTGATTTAAAGCAGTGTTTGCGGTGGGGTCATAAGCTCTACCTTGATGTCCACAGTCATTCTGGGAGTGAGCTGCGGGGGAATCATCACAGTGTATCGCTCGCGGCCAGTAAGCCCGAGGCTTTCAGCGGTGTCACCCGGCAGGTACTCTAGAGGAATGATGCCCATGCCCACCAGATTACTGCGATGAATCCGCTCGTAACTCTCTGCTAGTACAGCTTTGATGCCCTAAGGGAGAAAATCAATAGCAGTAGCAGTTTCACTGAGAGGGTTGCATACTACACTATTTTTTGTTTTGTCCAGAAACTGGCTGTTTAAAGGGATAGTTCACTTTGAAATACATTTTTGGTATGTTTTAGCTACCTCAAGGGCATCGGTGTCTTTGTTTCCGCAGTAGTTTCAATTTTGATATTTTTAGGTCAAACCGTTCATGTCTATCAGTCATATAATGCAGGTCTATGGTCACCACGTCAAAGAGCATGCACAGAGAAGTCCAAATTAAACTTGATTTAATGACTCGTAAATGTAAGTACACATCGATGGCCTAAGACACGAAACGAGCGGTTTGTGTGAGAAAACGAACATTATTTATATCTTTTTTTACCTCTTATAACCACAGCCACTTCCAAGTGATCTGAGGGCACGGGCACTTCGGTATGCGCAAGCACTGGAAGTGAACAGACAATGTTGAATGTTTTTCACAACCATATTTAGATCACTTCCGGCACTTTCGAAGCGTCCGCGCCCTCAGATCACTTGGACGTGGCTGTGGTTACAAGAGGTAAAAACAATATAAATACTGTTATAAATACGTTTTCTCACCAAACTGCTCGTTTCGTGTCTTAGGCCATCAATGTGTACTTACATTTACGAGTCATTCAATCATGTTTAATTTGGACTTCTCTGTGCATGCTCTTTGAGGTTTTGACCATAGACCTGCATTATATGACTGACAGACAAGAACGGTTTGACCTAAAAATATTAAAATTGAAAATACTGTGGAAACAAAGACACCTACATCTTGGATGCCCTTGAGGTAAGCTAAAACATATCAAAAATTATTTTCAAAGTGAACTATCCCTTTAACATCAAAGGGCCCATTTACACTCGGTATTAAGATGTGTTTTATTCGTTATGTCGTATGTTAGTCAACACATCAAAATAAGTGTATTTCTTTAAAGCATGACAGAAGATTATTAAAAAATAATGTATGATTATTAAAATGTACTTTAAAGTAAAACTTTTAATTTGACATTATTACATAAGTGTACTTATGTGGGCTTAAGTGTGTTAAGAAACCATGAAAGTGTACTCTCTTTAAGTACACTTAAGTGGCCTTTTATTTGATTAATATAATATCATCTGCAAGTACAGTTTAAAAATTTTTTTAATAAGCGCACATTCAATTAAATTAAGTCCACTTCTTTTTGACATCACATGCAGACAATATTCAAATTGATTGAGACTGCGTTGGCACAAGATGTACTGGAAAAATATTTTATCCCATTCATGTAGTTTCCAGACAGACATTGATGATCGTGTCCAAGTCACCATCAACATATGTCTGTACAAGCCAGAATGTGGATTCTTCAAGATATGCAAGTAAATAATTCATCCAAGTTAAAAGTCTGTTTATGATTTTGTTGAAACACTAGATGAACTATAAAACCTTACCAGGAGGAAGGGTCCTTTAGCAGCCCAATCTCTAGAGCTTCCTGATCCATACTCTTTGCCTGCCAGAATCAAGAGAGGATGACCAGCCTGCTGATATTTTTCTGCAGCATCAAACACATCCATCTGTAAAAAAAAAAAAAATTGTATAACAATTGTCAAATGTGAACTTTGCTCTGGTATGGAAAAAACATGTTAAAAAATAACATGGATTTATGGTATAATAATCTAATAGATGCTCACCAGCCACTGGCTAGTGGTTTTCCAAAGTTACTAGACATTTAGCATTTTCACTAGCCACAATTTCGACATCGATACCATGGGGAAAAACTTTCATATGCGTTTACTATTATCTAATAATTTGGCAGACTGTATATTAGGCTGCTGTCACTTTAAGACCAGATGTACAGACGCATTTAGGCTACGTCCACATTAATCCGGATACATTTGAAAACGGGGTTTTCGTTTAAAAACGCTCTCCGTCCACACTAGCGTTTTCAGGTGTTTTTCCGACGTTTCAGTGTGGATGAGAAACTTCTAAATTCACTTTACTGCGCATGCGTGAAACTTCACAAAAGCTCACTGAGATGATACAGATGGGAAAATAAATAATAATGTCATCGCACAATAACAGGATAATTTTATTTAGAAAATATCTCACCATCACGGATGCGTCCAGGTCGCATTCAGTCACCATATGTTTGGTCTAAAACGCAACTGCTCTCCTGTTTTGCCGCAGGACAGCAAATGTGAGTAGACTACATTATCTGTTATCTTTGCAGTACTGTGCTATGAAGAATAGCACATATTAAGTAACATATTTTAGCAATAGTGTAAAAATTAATAACATAACAGGCACAATACCGATAAACATGAATATCTATTGGTACTACATGGATCACATGACTAAACTTACGTCATCGTTTTGAAATACCTCCGGTTTCACTGTCCACACTACAACGCGAAAACGGCGTTTTCAAATGTATCCACTTTGGAGAGCGTTTTCCAAACGATACGTTTTTGTTGACTTAAAACGGCGTCTCAGTGTGGAAGGAAGGCCAAAAGGGAGAGAAAAATATACGTTTTCAAACAAAAACGTATTAGTGTGGACATGGCCTTATACTGGTTTATATAGCCAATACAATTGGCTTTAAGTGCACTCACAATATCTGTGGGAATTATGCACAATACACGCAATCCCACAACGAAATTGAAGCCCTGTAACACCAACAATATTCATTCGGATCAAATGAAACCAGTTGGGAGGAGGGTTTGTGTGTCAACTCTCTGTTGGAGAGATGAGAAAACAAGAAAGCGCAGCTGGTATCCTGTATCTATTTAGCAGAAAATTAGTTTTGGAAGCATATCAGATATTAAAGGGTTAGTTCACCCAAAAATGAAAATTAAGTCATTAATTACTCACCCCCATGCTGTACCAACCCCGTAAGACCTTCGTTCGTCTTCGGAACTCAAATGAAGATATTTTTGATTAAATTTGAGAGCTGTATAACCACCACATAGACTGCCTAAGGATACTGGCTCTTGACGGCCCAGAAAGTCAATGAAGAAAATGTTTAAATATCCCAAGTGACTACCGTGGCTCAACTATAAGTTTATCAAGCGACGAGAATACTTTTTGTGCGAAAAAAACAAACAAAAATAACGACTTTATTCGACTATTCCTTTTCTTCCTTGTTGGCCTGAAATGAGACTTCCACGACGCATGCGCAAGAATTGCGATCTCCTTCAACTACTTCAGTTCAGTTCTCGCGCATGCGTCGTGGAAATCGTATGGAAGTCTCGTTTCAGGCCAACAAGGAAGAAAAGAAATAGTCGAATAAAGTCGTTATTTTTGTTTTGTTTTTCGCACAAAAAGTATTCTCGTCGCTTGATAAACTTATAGTTGAGCCACGGTAGTCACATGGGATATTTAAACATTTTCTTCATTGACTTTCTGGGCCGTCAAGAGCCAGTCCCTTAGGAGCCTATGTGGTAGTTATACAGCTCTCAAATTTAATCAAAAATATCTTCATTTGTGTTCCGAAGACGAACGAAGGTCTTACGGGGTTGGTACAGCATGGGGGTGAGTAATTAATGACTTAATTTTCATTTTGGGGTGAACTAACCCTTTAAGTATCGATATGTAATAAAAAAAAAAAATCTGTATTTTTGACAACACTACATTGCACTTAGTTTATTATTTCAGATGCCTTTTTAAAAGACTACAACTGAAAAATGTATATTATATAAAATTCAACCCACCAAAGAGGATATTAGGAGTGATTGCAATACACACCACTAGGTGTTAATGTCAAGCCCTGTGTGTGTGTGTTTGTGTGTGTATGAGAAAAATACAGTATCCTACCGTCTCTCCTGTAGGAAGATAAATGGTGCTTGGAGCTTGCTTGTTTATAAACTTGTTAAAAAGGCGGATGTTGGCAAACGTGCCTCGAGCCATGACTGCGTCGTTGCCTCGACGAGAGCCGTATGAGTTAAACTCTCTTGCAGTAAGTCTAGGATATTTCATAACAGTGTTTCGAGTCATATCTCAATTTTAAAGACAATATATACCAGACTAAAGAGAGATAGTCTTGTAACAGCTTGAGTATGCTAAAAGTCTTACCCATGTTTAGTCAGGTAGCGTGCAGCAGGGCTGTTGCGTGCAATGTTACCAGCAGGCGAGATGTGGTCTGTGGTCACAGAATCTCCCAAATTGAGCAGTACATATGCATCTGTTATGGGCTTTGGAGTCTGGAGATCCCGGGTCTAAAATTGTAATAAAATTGTAATGTTTAGTTAAGTGTATGAAGAGTACACGTTCATACAGTACCTATTTTTCTTAACACAATAATGCCAAATTAATTTTTTTTTACTCACATGGAGTTCATGTGCACCACCTTGTGGCTGATTTTCACAAAAATTGGTACACTGACATATTCTGAAATATGATTCTATGAAAATTATATATTTTTTTGTCCGTTGAAATGTGATATTTCAAGATACTGCTCCTTTAAGGGGGTCTAAAAAGTAGCTAAAGTTTAGCTAATTGTATTTAATTTAACTGTAATCATTTTAATATTAATTATAATAATTTTCATTTAATTGCAATTACCATGCTGACATTAACATTAAATGTCTGAAAACATTACATTCTGTTTGCACTCAAGTATACTAATTTAAAGTATTATATTTAAATAAAAACTCTTTTTTAAAAGTAGTCTAAAGTGCACTTCTTTTTCATAATGGTACAGTTATGACACACAACGCATAAAAAAAAACAGTATACAATACCAGCCCGTCAAAGAAAGGTGGGGATTTTATGTAAGTGGAACTGGAGTCCCAGGAATACAGTTTGTCAGAGGAGGCTTTCAATGAGTTCCAGCGTTCATTCACTTTCTGAATATGAGAATAGACAAACACTACAGTTCAATTTATTACATTTACTTTTTGTATCCGGACATTGTTTTGATTTATGACAGAAGAGTTAATAATTCAAAAGTACCTCAATTTTCTCATAGACCTCTTTAAACATGGCAGGAATGACAAACTGTCTCTCCACCACCTGGATTTCCTCTCGTGTGGGCCAGATGTCCCTTAGGAAAATCTCTTTTCCCTCAGAGTTCACAGCTGGAATAAGACAGGCCAAGAAACATTGTTGCTTTTCATGCTCTTTAGGGAGAACCAAGCATTGCAATGTAAAATAATGAGATTAATACATGGTAAATATTACTTACCTAAAGGCTCTTTTTCGAAATCTATCCTCACTGTTCCTGCAATAGCATAGGCAATGACCAAAGGAGGAGAGGCTAAATAATTGGCACGTGTGTTGGGATGGACACGACCCTCAAAGTTTCTGTTTCCAGACAGGACACCAGCAGCCACCAAATCACCCTGTGACATAAAAAAAATCATTAAAACAATGTTATACATATGTTAACATTATACAAAAACATTAAAATCTTGTTTACCTGAGTAATCGCCTCTACAACCGTCTCTGGAAGGGGTCCACTGTTTCCAATGCAGGTCATGCAGCCATAACCAACAACCTCAAACCTAAACAAAGAGAGATCAATATTACAAAAAAATGTCTTAAAGGAGTTGTTCACGTTTAAAAAAAACTTTTGCTGATAATTTACTCACCCCCATGTCATCCAAGATGTCCATGTCTTTCTTTCTTCAGTCGAAAAGAAATGAAGGATTTTGATGAAAACATTCCAGGATTCAACGAAATAAATAATTCGAAAAAAGACTCGTTCAAAATGAACAAATCTTTTTTCCGAGTCATTTTGTCCATTTCGTTCGTTGAGTGAACGAAATGACTTGAAAAAAGATTTGTTCATTTTGTTGAACGAGTTCGAACAGGACAGTCGCGAACGCGCATCACAGAACAGAGCAAGGCGAGCATTTGTGCTTATAAAACTTAAACTTTTTTATTTATTTTTTAAATGACCGATCGTCTTGCTAGATAAGGCCCTTATTCATCATCTGGTGTCTTTTAAAGCCATTTGAAGCTGCACTGAAACTCTCATTTGGACCATGAACTGTTTGGCACCCAATGACGTCCATTATATGGAGAAAAATCCTGGAATGTTTTCATCAAAAACCTTCATTTCTTTTCGACTGAAGAAAGAAAGACTTGGACATCTTGGATGACATGGGGGTGAGTAAATTATCAGCAAAAGTTTTTTTTTAAGTGAACTACTCCTTTAAAGATTTTGTAAGCATATTGTGTAGTTATGCCGTCCTCATATTTTGATGGTTTTAACTTTGAATTTCTCACCCTAACTGAGTGAGGAAGTCCATGACTCCACTCTCTTTAAGGTAGTAGGTGACCACTCCACTCCCTGGAGACAGACTAGTCTTGATGTACGGCTTGACACTGAGACCACACTGTACAGCCTTCTGAGCCAAGAGACCTGCCGGAAATAAAGAGCAGCATTACTACATTACTATAAACAAAAATACATTGAGCATATTTATAAAGTCAGTGGTTCTCAACATAGATATGTATAGACAATCGACCGCTCCAGACACATCGACGCATGCGCCATCTTGGAACGGTCAGCGTGTCGTCACTCACAGTAAGAATCAATGATACCACAACATGGTAGGGAATCTGCCAACATTTAAATTCCCAAAGAAATGGGTTAACCTTTGGTTTGTGTTTTCATATCTATTAAGTTTTAACAATTGTACTTTTACATGCATTTAATTTTACTATAGTCACTTTTTAACACTAACGCCTTGTATTGTGTTAGTTTAGCTAGCAGATGCACTAGCTGAAGTCTATTGCAGATATAGATATTCATAGATGCCTCGAACTACGGCTGCAGATGCTCAGTCCACTTGCTGTCGAGTGTTCACGAACCGGCTTTGACCGTTCCAATTACTTTTATTATGACTTTTTCTGGGGCTTAAAAGTGGTAGTTGCGCAGCTGTCAATGGAGTGTCAGAAAGCTCTCAAATTTCATTAAAATCTCCATTTGTGTTCCGAAGATGAATGAAAGTCTTACAGGTTTGGAATGACATGAGGGAGAGAAATAAATAACAGAATTTTCATTTCTGGGTGAACTAGCCCTTTAAAATCTGTCCTTAAAGGAACACTACAAACAAACATTAAAATGATATCATTAGAACGATTCTAGAGAGTCAATGCATTTTCAGATTTTTAAAATATGTAAAAGAGCAGCCTGCTAACCATTCTTTTGTGTTAAAAAGGAGGGGAAAACTAGCTTGAAGTGACTTGAGGATGAGTGTATGAATAATACTTTGGGTGTAAATGATCACTGTGTGCAGACATGTACCTGCTCCCAGCATGACTGAGGGGTTACTGGTGTTGGTACAGCTGGTAATGGCTGCGATGACCACAGATCCGTGAGAGAGTGAATACTCTGCACCGTTAAACTGGAATGGTACTCGAACATCATGGCGCTCGGGAGCCACCTGGAATCCTTTAAAGCCTTGCTGTAGACAACAGACAATAATGGATGATAAAGGTGTGGAGGAATATTTCTCTAGACATGAATGGTTGCTTCAGCACTGCTTTAAGGATATCAAATGGATTTTATGACTGTTATGTCCATATATTAGCTTTGAGATCATCTGTAGGGTAAGGAAATATGTCAGTATAGTAATGTATGAAGCCCACTTCCACCACATGGAAATTAAACACATCTTAATTAATTATTAAAACAAATAAAGGAAAAATACAATTAAATGAATTAAAAAATGCTGAAAATTATATACTCTCATAATTATGGCGATAAAATATGACATACTAAATTATAAGATAATAAGTCAAAATTATGTACAGTAAGTATATTATGTAGTTTTGTAATAAAGTCACAACTGACAAAGTTAAAATTGTGATTATCTCATCATTTAAATTGATGTCAACTGTTTTTTTGTCAAATTTATGTCAATTTCGTTTTTTATGTCAGTTTAAACTTAAAACTAAATTATGACAAAAAGTCTTAATTGTTACATTAACCGAAAAACAGGCAAAAAAAACTATCATGAAGTTTATGTAATAATTAGTTTATGGCAATTTCAACTTATGTCAATTTCTTTTTATGACAGTTATGGCTTTTTATGTCAATTGCGTTTAATGTCAGTGATGCCTTATGTCATAAATAGGCTTTCAAAGGAATTCAATTTCTGCTCATCATGTAATTTTGAGGGATTAGCACAGTGATCATTTACTATTTAAAATTATTCGTTTTTCATACACAATATATTATGATTGAACAAGCCTCACCGCATATCATTTTCAATTTTGGCTGTGAAGCTAAAATATCTATTGCTTTTTCACAACAAAAGCACAAAACTGGGAAAGACCTCCAAAAGTGTGAAGAGAGATTACGTTTGGGAGACCCATGAGAATACTATGTATTATCTCAAGAATCAAAGGGTATGTGTGTCCTGTGTGTTTTCCAGGTATCACTGTGACATGTACCTTGGCTGCTAAACACGTTTCAAAGTCCTGCTTCATGTCTGATACAGCCACTTTGTCATGTGGGCGTTTAGGACCACTGCAGCAGGGGACAACCGTGCTGAGGTCCAACTCAACAACCTGGATGAGGAACAATGAGAGACACGTATACATTTAGCAGAAAGTAATGCAGACAGCAGTGACCAGGGCCAACATATCTGTGAACTGCACGTTTGTGTTGGTTTAGATACCTGAGTGAACTGTGGATCTTGAGAAGTGTTGCTGTAGTCTCTGAACATGCCCACCGCTCTCAGATACTTTTCTATGTAACTTAGATTCTCCATGTCCCTCCCTTAAAAACAAATATGTATAAAACAAAAAATAAAGTGTGCTTAATTTTACTGAATATGCACTTCAAATCTTAAAGGTATTTCTAAAAATTAACTATAAAAGGCCACCTAAGTGTACTTAGAGTACACTTTCATAATGCACTGTTAAGCAAGTGTACTTTGTAATAATGTCAAACTAAAAGTTTTACTATTAAGTACATTTTAAATCATATTTTAATAATCTTGTCATGCTTTAAAGTACACTTATTTTGCTGTTTTGACTAACATAATAAAGCACATGTAAAATAATTGCAGTGTGTTATTCGATGGTACATTTAAACATGCTAAATTGTACATTTCATCACCACAAATGTATAATTTCAAAAATTTGTAAACACAAGTAACATGTTTCAATAGAAATGACATTAACATATATTTTCCTTTTACCATATATGCTAGTCAGTATGCTCAGCAGTGCATTTTAACCTCACTTTAAATAGAAGTAATTATGAAATTAAAGATAAATGTGTACTTAAGTGTGTCAAAAAACCCTCTAATGTTCAGCCAATTGCATTGAATATAAATGTAAACTATAATATATTTTCATTTATTTGAACAGAAAGCACTTTGCACAAAGTTATTTGGTAACATTTTAGTTTATGTTCTAATTCTCACTATTAACTGCGACTTTTGCCTCAATAAACTCCGCTTGCTTATTAATAGTTATAGGTAATACGTACTTGTTAAATTTAGAAATTAGGATTAACAGAATATGGTCATGCAGAATAAGGCATTAATATGTGCTTTATAAGTACTAATTAAAAGCCAATATGCTAGTAATATGCAACTAGTTAATAGTGAGGATTCGACCCTAAACTAAAGTATGCTTAAGTGTACTTGAAAACTGATCAGGGACAGATTAACGTACCCGTCTGTATCAGATATTGAATGCTGATGTGGTCAACAGGGAAGAAGGCAGCGGTGGCTCCATACTCAGGGCACATGTTGGCGATGGTGGCACGGTCAGCGATAGACAGATGGGCAACACCAGGGCCAAAGAACTCCACAAATTTTCCAACCACACCAACTTGCCGCAAATGCTGGGAAGATAAAGGATATAATAAAACAAAGCGTCTTCGTTTGTAAACATCCTCCACTTATCCATTTATTTCTTCTAGTAGGAAGAATATTTTAACATTTTCAATACTTTCAAACCAAACACACCATAAAATCAGATATGGCAAGACTTCCATACCTTGGTGACAGTCAGCACTATGTCAGTGGAGGTGATAAATTTGTTGGGTGTCCCCTGTAGTTTGTAGCCAATGACCTCTGGCAGCACCATGCTGATGGGTTGACCCAACATGACCGCCTCTGCTTCAATCCCCCCCACACCTGCTCCAAAAGATCAAAGGTTAAATCTCAGTAGAACATTGTGTTTATTACTACATCTATCATTTATTTCTCTTTAATTACCAGCCCAACACTAATACACAAATTTAACTTTCTTTTTGCCTAAAATAACAAAAATATAACAAAAATCGGGATTATGAGATGCAAAGTCATAATTGTGACAGGTCAAAATGAAGCAGAAATTATTTATTAATTATGACATGAAAGTAAAAAAAGATGGCATTATTATGACATAAGCATTAAATGTACATAAATGTAAAAATTTAGATAGCAAGTCATAATTTGACTTTTAAAGTAATAATTATTACACAATTTCAACCCTCTTATCTCATAATTATGACTTAAGCATTAAATGTACATAACGTTCTACATAAAATGTGAAAATTGAGAAACTAATACGAGATAAGAGGTTGTGTATTGACATATATTAAAAGTCAAATTACATTTAAGTTGAAATTGTCATAATTATTACTTCTGTACTGACATAATTTCAAAATTTTAAGATACTAAATCATAATTATGAGATAAGAGGTAGAAATTGTGACAATTATTGTATATTATGACATACATAACATGAAAATTAGGAGTTGTTAATTTAGAATTAGAAGATAAAAAGCTGAAAAAGTATCTCATAATTTTGACATTTTCTGAAAGTCATAATATACAAGTAATGACACAATATCAGCTTTTTATCTCATAATTATGACTTAGTATCTTAAAATATTACATGAAAGTTGAAATAATAATCATAAGTCATAATTATGAAAACTTTTTATCTAAAAATTATGACTTTTTAATCTCATAATGAGTTAAGGCCCATTCATAACAAGAACGATAACTGTAAATGACTTAAAATAATTCATTATAATAAATTTCGCTCACCCCATCCCAGCACTCCCAACCCATCGATCATGGTTGTGTGCGAGTCCGTTCCCACCAGACTGTCCGGGTAGAAGAAACCATCCTGGTCAAACACAACCCTGGCCAGGTACTCCAGATTGACCTGATGGACTATCCCTGAACCCGGAGGAATGATCCGCATGTTCCGGAATGCTTTAGAACCCCACTGTGAACCAATACAATTAGTTCACAAGCAATCATCATCTCCATGTCTTGAAGAGACAAACAATATCAAAACATGTCAAATACAGAGAGGGGGAATTTACCTTTAAAAACTCAAATCGTTCCTTGTTCCTTTCAAATTCAAGGTCCTGGTTTTTCTGAACGCTATCCGACCTTAAAATATGGAAAATGTACACTTAAACATAATGAACTGTTGAGTAGTTCTGGTGATAGTTCACCCAAAAATGACAATTCTGTCATAACTTACTCGCCCTTGTGTCGTTCCAAACTTGTATGACTTTCTTTTTTTCTACAGAACACAAAAAGAAGATATTTTGAAGAATGCTGGTGACCAAACAGGCATTTCTCAAAAATATCTTCTTTTTGAGAACAACATGAGGGCGATTAAATGATGACAGAATATTCATTTTTGGGTGAATTATCCTTTTAAATTATCATTCACTTATCACAGACTGCAAATCCTAAGACAAGAGCTCCAAATGATATTTAGTTTTCATTTTTAATTGGGACAGAGCATTTTAGAAGCTCACAAGGACAGAGACAGACAGATATATATATATATTTTAAATAGTCTTCAGTCATTTCTTAAAGGAGTACACTTATTTTGTTGTGCTGATACTAACACACTAAAGCACATGTACAGTAACATACTTGATTATAATTTAACTGTAGAGAAAAATTCTATATTACATTTAATATATTTAAAATGTACTAAATTGCAACTTTATCATTACAAATGTGTAAAATACATTTAAATAAATGACCGAAAAATAATAATAAAAAAACAAAATAAAGTATATTTTAGGTTACCACAAATGCTTGCCAATACATTTAGCCGCACACTTTAACCATATTTCAAAGACAATAGAAGTAATTATGAAATTACATATAAAGATGTATTTAAGTCCTACTTAAGTGGGTTAAAATAAGTTCAGCCAGGTATATTAAATACAAATCTAACCTATAATTCAATATACTTTAGTTTGTTTTGTGTTTTCAGACACTTAATTGCATGTTAAAGTACCCATGAATAACCTTTTTCAAGTATAAGTGCACTTTTTTTTTTTCACAAGGGTTTACAGTGGTATTTTCTCATGCACGCCGTCTATAATTAAGCATACACATTCTCTGTGCTCTATATTAAATAAATACTCAGTTGGCGAAGGTAAATAATTTTTAAATAAACCCTGTAACACAACATGAACCTATTTACCTCATGTTTATGCCCTCATACATCAAAACAGAGGCTGTTCTGAAATATCGACAGACAGAGACATAAAAAGCAATTTTAAATTTCTGTCAAATGAACCTACTTCCTGTTGAAGTCAACCTGAATGGAATGATCTATGACCAGGTCTGCTGGACAAACTGGATTAATCTTCTCAGGGTCGCCCTGTAATTTTTTCACTGCGTCACGCATGGCTGCAAAGTCGACCACCGCAGGAACCCCCCTGTGCACAGTGGATAAACAATGAGACAAATATGTAACAGACAGACAGAAAGCTGCGAAAATATGAAACAGTTTATGGAGCCTTTAGACAAATTTAATTTTCATGTGTTTTTTGTTGAGCATATTTTGCCGATTTCGAACTCAACTTCGAGATGAACGTGTTCTAACGCACTTTAAGCCAATAAAATATTAACACAATAGAACATATATGATCATTAATCTTTTTACATTATAGGGGAAGCCGAGCTTAAAGAAATGTCCACTGTTCAAACAAAGCATCAAGCTTTTATTTTGGCGGGGAGACACCTTTCTTTGTTGACAACAGATTTATAAACAATTTTCATTTCGAATTTGGGAAGATGGTTGGCACACATTCTAATCCCAAATTCAAATTACAGTATAAGCGACACAAACACATTTTTACTTTTGAATCAAAACTGAAAATGAACACAGTGCTTTACTTTTCACAGTGAGTTCGAAATTTTCATATGCGTTTTTTTGTATTCGTGATTCAGTGCTCTGAATTGTCAAAACACCATTCAAACTGCTTGCTACGAATGCGAAAAACGCGGAAAAAAATCGAACCCGATTTGATGTTTTTTATGACGGAGGAAAATTCGGAGGCAGTGTGCAAGTGTAATTGACATAACGTGAGGTTGTATTTATTTTTTTAACTTTCGAAAATTTCGGATTCAGTGTGAAAGGGCCTTTACTCTGAAACATTGTCTGTAAGACAAAATATTTATTTAATACATCACAACCGTTGCGATTTGAAAATCGCACTAAGCCATATCCCATTCTTATTAAAAGTAACAACTGGCGAGTAAAACCGTTTTCAAGTTTTACTCGCATTTGGCGTTTTGAACCCTGGCTAAGAGTGTCTGGTATATGTCTTACAAATGTATATATCAAATATGAAACAGTAGGCTATATAGGGTTAAAACCTACGTGAAGTCTTGCAAGATGACGCGGGCCGGTCTGAAAGGCACCTCCACAGTCTGACTCTGCGTCACCTTCCAGTTGAGGATTTTCTCCACATCCTCCTCCTTCACCAGGAACCCATCACAGTTCCTCACTGCTGACTCCAACAGCACACGGATGGAGAAGGGAAGTTGGCCTTCAAAGAAAGGTACAGAGAAGGACACAGTCATGTCTCCAGTCATCACAAAATTCACAACAACCCTGAATGCAGGACTGCGGATTTAACTTTCATTACTTGAATAGACCAGGGGTGTCCAACCCAGCTCCTGGAGGGCCACTGTCCTGCAGAGTTTATCTCCAACTCTTATTAAGCACCCCTGAACCAGATGAGCAAGCTCTTCAGGCAATGTTTACACGGAAACTATCTGAAGAGAAAACGCAAAAGTGACGTTGTGTTATCACTTTTTATTCTGCGTTTAGACGGGAACGCGACGGTTTAGCGTTTTTATGATTTCCACTCTGGAGGATGGTTTCACTTTTTTGCGCTTTTAAGCCCCAAAAACGCCGTCACCGTGTAAACGAAAGGCATATCCTGTAAAATATTTTTATGTTTTCACCCGTGAGCGTTCTCATGTAAACAGGGCCTCAGACTCACTAGATACCTCCAGGCAAGTGTTGGAGCTGGTTGGGGGCAAAGTTTGCAGGACGTTGGCCCTCCAGGAGCAGGATTGGACAACCCTGGGTTAGACAACTCAACAAGGTAAACATAAAATGTCTTACCATATCTGGGGTCTTTAAGTTTGTTAAGGTTGAAAAACTTGTGGTCAGGCTTCTGGGGGTCCAGAGGCTCAATAGTGTGTGCATAAGGGTTCGTCATAACTAAAAACACGCTTCCTTACTGCACACTCTTGAACCCTAATATTGAGAGACAGAAAACAATGTAAGTAACTCCTTTGCTATGATACAATGGTAATAACATCAAAGTATGGTATTATGCATACATTCCCTTGTGAAAAGAGGTCCAATTGACTGTATGTACATTTGTAGAGAACTTTTTAAAACTACACACAGATAAAATATTAATCAAATTAAAGGGAGCACACTTTCATTACTGTTTCTTAACACACTTAAGTGCACTGTCATAATGTGAAAAGTTTAAAATAATTCTGTTTTAATAATCTTTTGTCGTTTTTTTAAACTACACTTATTTTCAACATACTAAAGCACATGTAACATACTTGATTATACATTTAATTGTAGCATTTTTCAATATTTCAAGTTAATATATTTTAAATGTCCTAAATTATAACATCATTACCATGTGTACTTGTACAAATATATGACAAAAGTTATATAGATATGACATTAAAGTATATTTTAAGTATTTTTCAAAAGACAATATAAGTAATTATGAAATTAAATATCAAGATGTACTTAAGCCCTAGTGCCAAAAAAGCACTCTCAGGATCAGTTATTGGATAAAATATACATTTTTCAATATAATATAACACATTAAAATTTAATTGCAATTAATATGCGATTAAGTATTTGAAAACCATTTTCAGCACTGGGGAACAGTATTTTTTTTAAGTTATACGTACTCTTTTTAAAAGTATGATAAAGTGTACTTTGTCACAAGGGTTTAAGAGAGTTTAAGTGACCATCACTTGCAGTTCACTAAATGAAAAACAATTTTACAACTACACCTTTAGTCCTGTGCTGAAAGGCAATATAATTCCAGTAATTCCAGTCAAATCTCCAAAACAGTAAATCTCCAGTTCAGTTCAAATGGAAGATCTGGCACTTTATCCGCCTCTATTCAACACCAAAGGCTTGAGAGCTTCCCAGAATTAAGAGGTTGGTACGTGACAGCCGGGACAACAACCAGCACACAGCATAAGAGATCAAGGAGGCGACACTTTATCACTGCCTTCACACAGAATAGTTTATACTGAAGTTGCGTGTTGACAAATCTACAGTTTACATCACAGCCTTGATATCTGCTTGATCTTACAGAGATAAGTGAGATCAGTTTTATGCAATGAGATAAACATGGCCCTCTCCAAAACTGTCACAGATAATGATCTGCATGGTATTTGTCTTGGATTCCACCTAACAGTCAAAAGAAACTCATACTGTAAATGTTTTGGGCAGGTTGTGGAGTGATGCATCAGGTGAGTGATCAGGCCATGACGGCATTCACAATAGTCCATTAGGAAATTGCTATGAGGAAAGAGAGTTGGTTTTACCAACTCTCTTTCCTCATAGCAATTTCCTAATGTTTCAATCAATCCATTTTTATCCAAGTCATCACGAATCACGATTCATGTGTGGCAGTCTAACCCAACTGTGCATCTACATAAAATTACTAGATTTAATCTTTGAACGGAATAGTTTAATTACTTGATGTGCTCTAGTAATGTTTATATGTGAATAAAAGTCTAAATTAAATGCGATCATGTCTAGAGGACTTGGATTAAACCACTTCACTCATGACGAATACGTACAAAATGTCTTTATGAACATTTTGAAGCATCAAAGTTTTGGTTGTGTGGACTTTCAAAGGAGGTAGAGAAATCTAGAGAAAAAGTTTTAAAATGGTCTTCATGTTTTTTCGAAGATGAACAAAACATGGGTTTAGAACAGCACGAAGCAGAGTATTTGATGACAAGAATTTTCATTATTGGGTGAAGATGCAATATCATAAAAAAAATGTAATGAAAAAATGTGACATTGCATAACTGATATTTCAGACAGAATATAGAGATATAAAGAATCCTACAGGATTATTAGTAACACCATAATACTGTGTTTGACCCCCTTTCACCTTCAGAACTGCCTTAATTCTACGTGGCATTGATTGTGTGTTGGCCCAAATGTTGGCCCATATTGATAGGATAGCATCTTGCAGTTGATGGAGATTTCATCCAGGGCACGAAGCTCCCGTTCCACCACATCCCGAAGATGCTCTATTGGGTTGAGATCTGGTGGCTGTGGGGGCCATTTTAGTACAGTGAACTCATTGTCATGTTCAAGAAACCAATTTGAAATGATTCAAGCTTTGTGACGTGGTGCATTATCCTGCTGGAAGTAGCCATCAGAGGATGGGTACACATGGTGACCATAAAGGGATAAACATGGTCAGAAACAATGCCCAATTGGCACTAAGGGGCCTAAAGTGTACCAAGAAAACATCCCCCACACCATTACACCACCACCACCAGCCTGCACAGTGGTAACAAGGCATGATGGATCCATGTTCTCATTCTGTTTACGCCAAATTCTGACTCTACCATCTGAATGTCTCAACAGAAATCGAGAAATGCGTGTGTGAATTACCTGGATCTGTGCAGCAAAATGTATGCTGCACAGGATTAAATTTTTAAATAGATTTAATAAACACCTCCCAGCCAATCAGAATCAAGTACTCAGACAGACCATAGTATAAAATAACATTATTATATTTAAACAATAATTTAACATCCTAACTTTTAACAAGTTACATTGAATGCAATGTAAATGGCTTTGTATAAAATCCAGCAGTCCCACAATAGCCAAATATCAGCTGATGAATCAGCCCAGCTGATACACCAATGAGCCAAATCATTATGATATGTTGTAGGTCCTCCGCATGCTGCCAAAACAGCTCCGACCCGTCAAGGTATGGACTCAATAAGAACCCTGAACGTGTCCTGTGGTATCTGGCACCAAGATGTTAGCAGCAGATCCTTGTAGAACCGCCATGTATCGAACATGTTTGTTAAAATACATCCATGTGAATAGCCGGACCCAGGGTTTCCCATTGTCAAGGGAATCACACTCCCTCAAACCGGTTTGTGTCGTCCCACAGTGCATCCTGGTGCCATCACTTCCCCATCACTTGTAAACGGCTTACACATACCGGTCGTCCATGTGAATCGTGATAAAAAAGAAAATGGGACCATCTGACCAGGCGACCCTTTTCCACTGCTCCAAGGTCCAGTTCTGAAGCTCACGTGCCCATTGTAGGTGCTTTCAATGGTGGACTGGACATCAGACACTCTGATTGGTCTCCTCTAAGTAGCCCCACATGCAGCAGAGTTTGATGTACTGTGAATTTGTGGCATTTTTAAGAGATGATAAACAATATTTGCTTCACCTGTGACTGGTCATTATGTTTTGGATAATCAGTTTTTTTTTATGAGGCAAAATCATTTGGATTCAATGAAAAAAGACAACCATTGAATATTCACCTTTATTACTAGGCTCTAAGGAATACTTGATTCTGATCAATCAAGCCATCCAATTGTATCTTATTCCAGATTATAAAGATAGCACAGGTTCATCGATAGCACAGGCTCACGCTTGCTAGGAATGGAAGTTTTGCATTTGGTGAGCTAATAAAATATTAAAAATCAAATCAATATTTTGAGTACAGTTATTGAATTGTCATCCGTTTTCACGGCCTCACTCTCTCGTTTCGTTCAAATGCAGTTGCTGCCATTTTGCAAATATTGTGTTCACTGTAATGGATTATAAGATAACAAACAGGTACAATTGAATTTGAAACAGTTTAATCTCAAATCACTATCTCTTATCCCTATATGTTGTGAAATACCATGTAATAAGTGGTATGATGAACCGTACCCCTTAAACGTCGGTCTAGTTTGAACTTTCAACTTGGTAGCAACTCCTTTCTCCGTGGAAGCCTTGCATTTAAAAAGCTAATTAATTATTTCGACTCAGATCAATAGCCTATTTCATGTCTAATTATTTACTTATGTGGCAAGCAGCCGTGTAATAAGCTGGATAATGTACATCCAGCTGGTTGTTATCACAGAATAAACCCCTTCAGGGTGTTGCAAGACCTAATCAACCTGTAAACTTATTCTGAGATAACGACCGGCTGTACAGTATCCCTTGCTTAACTACTTATGATTTTGCATAAATTCATACTATAGCAGAAAGCAGCCGTTCACAATCCAAGGATTTCAAAGACATTTAAACCTCAGAGGAAAAATGAGGGCAAAAGAGCCCCTAGGGTGCCAACATGCTTTATCCTAGCATGCTGCTTCACGTTATCACGTTAACAAGTTTAACTCAGTCCTCTTGGGATATGAGCAAGCAATGAGGCCAAGCTGTGCAGCAAGCAAAGTGGGTTTTTCCAACTATAATGGCAGCCCAATTGTGCAACATATCAAACAGAAGAAAAAGAGACACAACCGACCAAACAGGGTGAGCAACTAAACTCTCCAGCCAACCCGAGGGGGAAGGTAGATTTACACCAAATGATACAGTAGAAGCAATTATCATGATTAAAACTGAGGGTTTTCAATCTTTTAGATGGCACACACCACCGAATATGATCATTCTCATGTGAGAAACACCCATCCTAAAATTTAAAAGGCACCTATATGGTTTCTTGTTTAAAGATTTATTCATTTATACATTGAAAATTTAATATTATAAATATGTTTAATTTTTATTTATTTATTTTCATTATTTTATTCACAGGCCCCTTTTACTTCCTGGTTTGGAAACACCCGATTTAAACAGTTAGACTTGGCCAAGTTCACATCATAAGAAATGCAATACCTCTGTATTATTTTATATATATGTTTCTGTAACTTAGAAAGGTAGGTCTATCAACAGTCTATCTGAACGCAAAAATCACCACGACTGGCTTTTATTTAGTTAACGTTGCTTCAATGAATGAATCACTATCTCAAAGTGTGAGACTTGGTGCCAAGCATAACAGGCTCAGGGAAACATAATCTGAGGTAATATCTGTAATTCCCACTACACCCAGTCTTGTGACTGTACAGTGAAATGCCATTTTCTATGGTTGTGTGCATTAGACTCTGAACTATGAATGGAGGCTCATGTGTTGCCCTGTCTTCCAAGAACTTGTTTAGAGAATGATTTACTGAAGGTCCACGTTTTCGGTCTTTGACTGACATAACACGTAAAAGAAACGAAAATTAATGTACAAGTGTAACCTCCATTTGCACCAATTTTACAACTACTCTAAATTAGCATGTGCAATATCAATTATTTCCTTGTCAACATGAAGATAGCCTGTTAGCTAATGTTAAATCGTCCAAGTAAGAGCCAAAACACTGCAGCAAATATCCCCCACTCGAACTCGGTCTAACATGCACACATTTATGATCCTTATGCTAATAACTCCAATTGTATAATTTTAATATCTGCAACAACACCGTTATTACGACATAGAACAACAGTAAGTTAAACAGTATTTAAACTAAACTGCTCCGAAATCAATGACATGAGACATGCAGACGAGAAGTAGATGTTTCATGCAGTTGCATACAGTTAATGGAGCACGATTTCTCTGTTTAATAACAGCTTGATCATTCAGCTTACCTCGTAGAGTTACAGTAGATTTGAGTCCTGCTGTCAATGGATGTTCGGCCTCTTTAACTCTAGAGCCGCGTTGTTGCTTTTACCGTAATCACTCTAAACGAGCCGCATTACCTAACTACACACACTGAATCCACACAATTAAAGACCCGTTGATTTACATAATTTCTGTGACGAGCTGTTTAAACATTTATTCATAAAACTACAGTAGCTAGAATCTATTTTACCAGCTTTTTCTACGGTACTAGCCTATCTTATTTTTCAGTTGTAGCAATTGACTTAGTTATTACTAAATATTTCGTATATTTCACTTTAGGCTACCTTTTTTAATTTGCCAAATGGATTAAAGAATCACTAAATAGTACATTAATTAGAAAATGTACTGTAATAATCACTTTCTGTTCAATTTGGATAATATCAATGGATATTTATTGATTTTTCAGTTTTCAGTTTATGAGAATAAAGTTATACTTTGTGAATAAAGTCAAAATTATTTGAAAAGGTCCATATAATAAAATAATGTATTATTTTATAATAATTTATTCTTATTGTAACGACTTTGTTCTCAAAAAATTGACTCAATCTTTACGGAGCCCCTCTAGTCCCACTTTGGTAAAAAAAAAAATAATTATAACTATCTTGTGGCCTCAAGATAGTCTCACTATGATGCAACTTTATTAATATGACTTTAATTTTGTTGTGCGACTTTATTCTTGTAATTTTTACTTTATTCTAACAATGCTACACTTTTTCATAATTTTTAGGGTACTTAGGGTACATGACCTTATTCTCATCGGCTACTCTCATTTCTATGTTATTGTAGCCTAATGTTTACATTATTTTCGAAATATTAAGATTTTAATCTCAAAATGCTCTCAAAATAATTATGAAATATTCTCGTGTTGCTACGAATTCAAATTCTCAAATTCTAATTCAAGAATTCAAACTCTCCTAATTTTTACTTAATTTGAAAATTACTTTGTTCTCGAAATTATTAATGTGAAATGGAAAACTGATTTCTTACTAATAATAAAAAATAAAAAAGATAGCATTTAGTTCTAAACAGTTATGTAATCACCATAAAATACTTTTCTACACTATAAATTTTGTCATTAAAGACATTCAACAATTGTGTATATTTATTCTGTGTGTTACGGTAATGATTCAGCAATGCCCTGTTTCTTTGCTCTGTTATGAATGTGTGCTAAAGGTCATATTTAGTTCATTGCTAGCCTACAGTAATAAACAGCACAAAGCACGTGTTTAACACTAGTTCTTCACACTTACATAATTTAGTAAGACGGGTCTGGAAGATGTGCATGAATTCGGTTTGCTACTAAAATAATTTTCAGGTCTGTTATGATCACTAACAAATCTTCCTTCAGTGGGGGGGAGACTGTAATCTGATTGTTTTAAAGAACATACTGTACATGAAGATGCTAAAACATCACAACAGAGATAAATATAGTACGTTTCAAGCGGTTATCAGATATGGCTGATAGAGAATATTGTTGGCTGCAATTTATTTTACCATCCTGACTTGACTTATCACAAGCCTGCAAGCCATTTTTATTTGCTATCAATAATCAGCTTTAGCAGCGGTGATATCAAAGCAATAAACTAGATTGCACCTATTATTGGCTTAGGGCCTATTGCTATAGTGTCAACAGCAATATGAATATTCAATTGATCAGTAGACCCATAGCTCAATAATCCAAGTTGTTTGCGGTTGCTTTGCAACATATCACATTAAAGTCGGCATGAAGCGGAATATTCTTTCCTAACAAACAAAACAAAACAAAACAAAACAAGAAATGCCAATTTTGAATTTGTGTGGACTTTAATAGTTTAATTCTATTCTTCCAAGTAATGTAACTGTAAGCTTGGCATGGTGATATAGAATTCAAATTGTGTGCAGACAATGGCTTTCAATGTGGCTCATTCAGTCAGATTTTTGTTTTTAGTGTACTATTAAAAGATTTCTCCAGATAAAAATTGTGTGGCAGTTAATATATAAATAAGTTTGATTTTTGGATGTTTATATGCAGCATTGATTTAAAAACTCATTGTTATCCAGATCATTATTGTATTGCAGATAAAAAACAAAGCAGTAAAAAAAAAATCCAATGCCATTTCATATTTATTTGTTGCAGCTTCCAAATCCATGATCTGGTGGATGAATTACTTCCTGTCAACAAGCTTTGAAGCTCATGAAGTCTGGGACAACCGCTTGGATTGTTGTGGGATAGCCTACTAAGTGTCTTGGCATGCATACAGTTCGGGAAAAGCGTGTGAAATGCTGAACAATTCTCTGTTAGCGATGAAGCTCCTTCCTCTTGCTGCGACCTTCTTTGATTCTCTGCATCCTGTAGGTCTTTCGGGCCAGTTCACGCTCTTTCACCTGCACCTCTGTGTCATCCAGCACCTCCAGACTGGATATCTGACTGATCACATACTGCCTGTCATAGAGAGATATTAGTAGTATGGACTCTGTGTATTAGAGATTGTAAATGAATGCTGAACTTGCTGGCACAAATACTACAGCACAGCGAGGTTTGTTATTGGACTGAAATCTGCTTAAGCAAAACATGACCACTAGATGGTACAGTATACCCTTGTGAAAAATAAGTAGGCCTATGTCTAGAATGTTCACTTGTAGTGTACCTCAAATCTTAAAATTATATGATCAAAAAATTTAGTATGCTTAAAGATAGTACACTTTCATGACTGTTTCTTAAAAAATTAAAAGTTTCCCTTTAATGTACATTAAATATGTTAATAATAATATTTTGTCATGATGTAAAGAAGTACACTTATTTTGATGTACTGACTAAAATACTTAGTAGCCAACTTGATTATAATGTTAACTGTATGTTATTTAATAATAAATTTAAAGTTTTAATATAATAAATCTACTAATTTAAACTTCATTATTATACATGTGTAATTACAAATATACTTAAATAGATGGCATACAGGTTTCAATAAAATTACATTAAAGTAAAATTACATACATATAACCATATTTCAAATACAATAGAATTATGAAATTACTTAAGAAAGCACTCTAAAGTTCTGCTAATTGCATTTAATATACATTTAAACAAGAATATTTAAGTTTAATTGCAATTGATTGTCTGAAAACTTTCACACTTAAATATATATTTTATTATTTCTGTAATAACTATTCTTTTTCAAAGTATGCTAAGGTGCGCTTCTTTTGAAATTCTTAAAACAGACCAAAAAGTACAGATCAATATCAGATTTCATACATCGGTTCTTCTCACACTTACCTGTAATCGATATACTGTGTCCGACTGCCTCCATTAAAGTAACTGGGTGCTGCTTCATTGTTCATCATACTAAGAATTCTACAATGAAAGCAAACAGGTCAATTACTGGAAGTCACTTGTAAAGAAAACATGATCATGTTCTTGGGTGAACTCACTTGATATTTGGGAACTTGCAGGAGATCTCTTCCACAACAATGGGCAGGTTGCTGATTTTGTTCTTGTTGATCCACAAGGTGGTGAGGCTGGGCATGTAGGGGAATTTGACATGTGCGCTGTAGTTGTTGCAGTCCAGGATGAGTGTGCTGAGCTTCTCCAAACCCCCCAAAAGAGCAGGATTCCGTCAGCAGCTCGGTTAAGGGCAATCACATGATAAGCTTACGTGTGTTCTTGTTTAATAGCCTTTCTTCTAAAAAGAAAAAAATCAAGGTTCAATAGGGTTTTTTTTCTTTTTCTTTTTTTTGCACCAATTCCATTGTAATGAATCCTCTGGAGGCAAGTTGTAGTGAGAACCCAAGTGCAACTTTAACAAAACGTGATCAAACATAAAACAAAGGCATGGAACTAAACACAAGACCATCGACAGGTCTACAGTAGTTTCATGAAACAATCAATACTAGACAAAGACACAGGGCAAACATGAGGGCTTAAATACACACTAACGACTAGACATGGGGCAACAATGAACCAATGACAACATGATACATCAGAAAAGGTAACACATGGCAGGATCACATGACTTGAAAAAGGGATCACATAACATACATGAAACAGGAACAAGGAACAAAAACTAAAACGTGACATAGCCCTTGCAGCCCTTTACTGCCGTACCATGAGTGCAGCAGGCGCGATGACTACACAAACTAAGTCCCGGTCACTTTGGAAGCTGGGCACTATTTTCAGGCACTGCATCATATCATTACGCCTGCTGCACTCAGGGTACGGCAGTAAAGTTTCTTGATTGTTACGCAGGAATGAGAGAATAGTTCCTAGTCATATCAGCCCAGAAAATCTCAACTTTACATTTTCCGTCTGTCTTAGTGCACGATGTAACTATAGAAGAGTCAAGTTTTAAATAGGAAAAATATCAAAACACTTTGATAATTTGTTTGGTAGAAATGCTAATGGTCTTGTCCACTTCAATGATGTATGCTTAGCTATGCTAAAAGTGGTACCGCCAGAACCAGAGATCGGCTGAATGGATTCAAAAAAGGTAAAACTCAACAATTTAACTCTGGGGGAGTTGTAAAATGAGCGTATTTCCAAAAGAAAGTGGAGTAGGAAAAGTTTTCCCTTTAAGGGAAAAAACGGTGGAATATCCCTTTAAGTCCATGGCGGAGCATGTCCTTTACGATATCATCACCAAAGTCTACCTTATGGCAAAGCTCACAAAACTCCCTCACGTAATCTTCAATTGGACAGTGACCTTGGCTGAGGCGGAAGAGAAGAATTGCTGGGTCCATGTTTGGTCTAGCATTCTGTACTAGTGTTCTTTGTAGTGAGAACCCTAGTGCAACTTTGATTAACAAAACGTGATAAACATAAAACAAAGGCATGACGAGGTATGAAACCAGAACAAGAACATCTACACTGCTACCAACAGGCAAACATGAGGATGTTTTTTTTTTTTTTTTGCAATCTGTAAAAAAGAAGCTCTATGTCCTTGTCACCTACATATTTACATAAGAAAACCCTACAATGTTAGTAACATTATGAACATATGACCAAGACATCTGATTCCCAAAAGGATACTCATCCAGCAAGTTGTAACTAAGGTCCAGAACCTCCAGAGTGTCCTGATGCTGAAGAATGGTATCATAGGGAATCTCCAAGAGGCCCTGGTAGGCAAAAGAGAGCGTCACCACAGCAGGACCAGCAGGGGTCTCCATGGTCTCCATGTCACTGCTCTCACACTCTTCAATACGGTCGGCCATCAACCACCACGACATCAGGACACATAATGAGCTGATCGACCTCTTAACACTGTAAAAATATATTTTGTGAATGTTAGCTCTTTCGCCGCCAGCGTTTTTATATAAGGTGCCAGTCATGGCCAGCGCTTCACAAAAATTCCATGGCCCTCAGAATATATTGTTGTATGAATATCTGAACATGCAACATATCAAAAGAAATATAGTTTCTAGCTTCATGCGCCACCCTCTTTAAAATTAACAGCAAGACAAGTAGAAGTGAATGTGCTTTCTCGAAATGGGGTCTTGCCGTTCTTGCGCACCGAATGCGTCTAGGCTGATTTCTACTTCTGCGTCAGACTTATGCCGGAGCCTCTACTCTATAGACTACGTGTTGGTTTTCATTTATACTCCAATCAACCTAAACGATTCAATCTCTAGGCTGAAAGGTGAGAAAACAGGAAAGGAGACTCTTGCTGGAGACTCAATAATCATCTACTAAACTTTATCAGTTTTTATACCATTGGAGTGGAAACCTAAATTAAACATATAATAAATTTGTAATACCACAGGTTCCTTAAATATCGATGTTTTATTTTTAAAAAAGCAACATTTTGAGCATAAAGCAGAGAAAATCGTGTGTCATAGCGCCCCCCACCGTATAACAATGAAAACACAAAAACCCGGAAAATTCCTGTGGCGGGGAAAGAGTTAAGGTTTCAGTTATTTTTAGTTAGATATTTGGTAGTTTTTGCCAAAAAGTCTCAGGACATTTGGTGTCACTACGGTGTAAAAAATTGTAAATGTAATTGAAGATTATTGCTATGTGCATTTTATAAGAACACACTGTTTCAGTCTTTCTATTTCCAAATTTTACATTTTACACTCTTGAAAATAAAGGTCTTTTTTGACATCTTTTAAGATCCATGGAATGTTCCATTCCACGAAAGGTTCTAGTGGAAAAAGGTTCTTTAGATAATTCAAATCAAATCAAATTAAACTTTATTTATAAAGCACTTTAAAATCACTTTAAAACCACAGTGCATAAATGGGATCCACAAATGTGAGGTCACCATCAAATATATATATATATATATATATATATATATATATATATATATATATATCAAATCAATACAATTAAATGGAAAGATTCAGTGGTCAACATGATGGCCAAATAAAGCGGATTAACCATAGAAAACACCAAGGCCGTTATATTTGAATGTGAAGTTGCTCTTTTAAATCCTGGAGCAATCTTTTACAGTTTTATTTTTAATAATCAGAAACTAACATCATTCATCAGAATTTCCCCACTGATGCAAAAATCCTTTCTGTTACAAATACGTGAAGAAGATAGTATTGCAGAAAAAAAAGTACAGTCATTTAATTTTTTGCCGCAGTGATGGCATAGAAGAACAATATTTTGGTTCCCCAAAGAACCATTCATTGAACAGTTCTTAAAAGATTTTTCTTGTAAAAAAACATATTAAAAAGGTAAGAACCTTTTCCCACTAAAGAACCTTTTGTGGAATGGAAAGATTTCATGGATGTTAAAGGTTCTGCATGGAACCAGAGTGGTAACTAGTAAGTAACATTTTTCATACAGTAACAAGAATCCCACATTCGGAGTCCCATAGTCAGAATCTTAACACTTACCGGGGTTTGCAGCTCTGCAGTTCTGAAGTGGTGAGCGAGTGAGTGGTGAGATATGTCCTGCACAAATAAAATACCTTCTTTCATGGCTGGAAATGGGATCACAAGATGGGATAATCACATTGCCGGTTAACCCTTTCCTCATGGGGTTCACATAAACTTCACAAAACTGTCTAAAATAGGTCATCAGCTTTATGAAGCAGCTGATGCTAAAAAGATTGCGGTTTTTACTTAGTTGAATCTTTTCACATTTGTGTAACATGGCCTGATAATTAATTCTTGAACAGTTTACAACATCAATCAATTCAATTTCATCAATTTTTTTTTTACAAACATCTGAAACAGTAAAGATCATAAATATCAGACAGGTTTTAGAAGAGAAAGTTGTCAGAATAATTATAATCCATACAATAATCTAGGCCTAGTCTATGAAAAAAATGTTTAATACTAAAAAATTGTTTTTTGGAAGTAAAAATTATTAATTGTTATATAATTTTAATTGAAAATCTATATTATGTCCAACAAGATAATGTGTTTTTACAGCAACAACAACAATATATAGGCCTATATAGGTCAGAAAGTCACATTAGGTATAAGCCTAGGTTTTCAAAATACCCATATTTCTTTTTATTAACTCCCATATTATAGGATGTTTTGATGCTATGTTACATTTTATGTTGCCGAGTTAATGTTTATTGCATTATTATTATTAGTGTGTGTGTGTGGCACTGTCTGTGCTGTCAATAGGCTATAGTATTAGCAGACATTCTCTGGTATTAGGCTATTAGTCACTTGCCACAGATGAGTTACTTTGACCCATCATGTGGCATTCTGAATTAGCCTACTACCTTATTATCAATATATATGATATAAAAGAAAATTAAGGAGTTGGTGTATGGACGCCATGCATTCCGAGTTCTTTTGTGTTTTTCATCTTCACTTTTCATTTTACTTTAAAATATTAAACGTCGTCCCCTAAAGAAAGTTCCCTAGAGATGTTTTTGTTTACAGTTTCATCCTCCGCCAGACTGTTCTGTTCTGGACTTCACTTTCCATATTAGGGTATGATGCAATCCAGTCTCAACCAGACGCTGCTGGCCAAGCCCCGCCACCACTGGAGTTTCTCGAAACGTAACGAAACGTGGGCTACGTGTTTTCCCAGACGCAAGTCGCAAGTCCCGCCTCCGCCTGAAACGTCATCACGGTTTATATAAACACTCGCCGTCACTCACAGCAGCATTTCTATTTACGGCAAAGAATAATGACATACATGAAATACGAACCAAGCGCGAGATGTTGATGAACAAACCGAACATGGAGTTTATGTTTAAATTGAAGTCGTCGTATTGCTCAAACAGTGTTTTAGGGTACGTTAGTACATTCAACATTGGAAAACCAAATCTTCGCTGGAGCGACTGCCAAGCGACAGGCTGACAAACTCACAAAGGTAAGAACCTTAGATGTCTATTAACGCGCTCGTGATGTTGAAAAAAGAAAATATTTTATTCGGTGTAGCCAACCAATAAATTAGGCAATTTAGTTCTATATATCATTTGTCAATGGTATTATTTTGGTATCATGGGTATTTTGTTATGTTGTTCTGTAGACAGCACGCAGTGAAAGACAGGCTTTGTCACATTCATTGGTGTGTCATACTGAATGTTGTAGCAACAATGCAAACAACACCCCTTTGAGGACTGAGAAATCTTCCACTGGTTTTAATATAATTAAAAAATATTGATTGTTTCATGGTGTTTTTGTTTGTTTTTACAGATTTAGTGAGATTATGGCACCATTCACCATTTCCCCTCATCGTCCACTGCCATATCAATGCCGTTTACCTCAGGAACCTCTATTCATGCAATCCAAGATGAGTCCTGAGCTTTCGTCCAGTAAACCTGGAACGCATGAAGATCTACATCTTAATTATTATCGCGAAACGTCCATCATCAAGATCAGACTCCATCTGTGGCAGGTCATCCAAAGAGTTGTGAACTGCTGTACGAGTGTAGCAAAGCTTTTCTGCTCCAAGATGTTTTTCTTCGTTTGTGTGGGAAAAAACATGACCATGACCGGCGAGATGAAGAAGAGAGGTGTGGAGGCCCTGGAAAGGGAAATCTGGGATGGGAAGGATCCAGAGATGAAGGTTGTTATGAAGTTAGATGATGAGGATGAGTTGATCGAGCCTGCTGTTGAGCAGGAATCCTCAATGATTGATTTGGATGAAGAGGAAGATGATGAAGCCAGGCTCTCAGAATGGGAGTCTGATGAAGACACCGATGAGGAAGAAGATGATGAGGACAATGAAGAGGAAGACTGTGAGCCACAGGATGTGGATTCTGAATGGTCAGATGATGATGATGATGATGACTCAGAGGCATCAGCTGAGAGCCTTGAGCTTTGGGAATCCTTTCTCAACAGCAATGACCCCTACAACCCTCTGAGCTTCTGCTCGTCCACCGGCTCCAGAACAAACACTAAGCAGAACCAACTAACTCTGAGCTCACAGAATAAAGCTCAACCTACACCAGCTACAAGGCCAGAAGAGTGTCATCCAAAACCAAACTCAAAGGAGGGAGGGAAGAAGGTAACCATTTCATGGAAACCTGTGTTATTTATAGTATTTATTAATAGGTTGTACTATTTTTAGTTTTCATGTTATTTTAGCAATTTTATGGGCTTTTTCTTTTTTAATAGTTAGCTTTGATTTATTTTGGTTTTAGTTTAATAGTAATGGTTAAGTCATTATTGTTCTTAAACTTCATACTTATTTTATTTCATTTAGTCAAGCCAAATTTTTTTTCATTGAATATTTTATTTGATTTCAGCTTAATTTCAGCTAACAAAAGCAGTTTTTAAGTTTAAATTAACCATAACACCAATGGAAAACACATTTTTAAGTGAATAAAATAAAGATAACTTTTTTTGTGAAATAATGATAACTATAGCGCCTTTAAAGTGCTTTAAAGTGTAAAAAAGATACAAGTAAATAAAAAAATACAGAATAAATCAACAAAAGACCATGTGAATAAATCAACAAAAATACATAGGTGGATTAAAAACAAATAAAACAAAAAGCCAGTGATTATTACCACACTTAACAATAAGCTAACTTTAAAAAAGTTTTTTTTTAAATGTTTTAAAAATTAGACGAATATTAGTAATATTATTATATACAACAGTGTTCATTTAAATAATTAATTAAAATAAATAAATAAAATTAATATAAATAAAGGGTAATAAATAAATGAGCTGTAATAATATAATAATTAACCTGTATTTATGGTATTCAAAATTATAGATAATTCTAAAAGAAAGCAGAGAAGATGCCGGAAATAAAATTTCCAATAGAAAAGTCAACAAACATGGATTCATATTGCGGTTGCTATAAGATGGCTGAAAACACTAAATCATTCCTCTTCCATGACAACAGCTGACGGTAGCTAGTAGTCAAACCAGTTCCTGTAAGTCAGGATGTCATGTGACATGTGACTCGTGCTGCATGACTAACAGACTAAAGGTTACAGCGGTCGGTTGTACTTCTATCTGATAATAACATGCTTTTGTCTTTTGTTTTATTTCAGGTGTGTTTCAGTGATAAGGTGACTGTACACCCCCTGGTGGCCTGGAGTTTTGCTAGCAGGGAGGCCCGGGATGGCTCTTGTTGGCTGCAGATGGCTAGAGACCGAGAGCGTTTCAGAAGAAGAGTGGAGAACATTGAGAATGTCATTAAACCCTGCCTGACACCTGAACACAGAGCTAGCGTGTGGGAGAGACTTCAGAGAAACACATTGTCATAATAGTCCAGGTTTATGTATTATTAACGTAATGTAGCAGTCAAACTAGATGTTTGAAATATGCTGTTTGTGGTGCTTTATCTCCGAACACTGAATGTTATTGTTGTGGTTTTTTACTGTGTTATTTCTTATTTTTTCAATGTTGTGGTGAATTTTATTTTTATGGATCTTTGTCTTATTGGGGTTTAATTTTATATAATATTTTATATTCATTTTGTATTTGCAATATTTTAATTTATCATTTTATTGTTCTACAAAGCACTGTAATTCTTACACATTTCATATTTTATAGAGTGGCAGTTGAAAAAGATTAAACTTTTCCAACATTTATCCTGTGTTTGTGAGTTGAATTTTTTTTCTATAGGTATTTTTTTTCAATACCCAAATATTTAAAATGCACATGTTTGCATGTATTTCACAAATATGATGTACATGACATTGAAGTAATACAACTATAATACACATTTTTTTCTGAGAAGCAGCAGATGTCACTGCTAGAAAATGTCAGTCTATAACCAATATAGAAACATCTCATGCAGCAAATCACAAGGTCACCTTTCCACCATAGTAACAAACAACAGTGTTTGGGTAATGCATTACATGTAATCAGATTACTTTAAGTTACTCTTGCAAAGTTACCAAGTTACTTTTTCCAGCAAGTAACACAATTTACTTTTTCCCATTTATTGACTGACACCTCTCCCGTCCCTATGTTAAGAAACATCGTGAGTAATTGCAGAGGCGTTGTGTACGCTGTGTAAACATGATGGTAATGTAAGCATGTTATTTTAGCATATCTTTTCTAGACTAATGTGAGCATGCATTTATTCATCTCATTTGCACAAAAACAGATTTTGTATAGCTCAAAATAAATACGGTGAAATGCAAACTCAGAATATTACACAGATTTTAAATAACAAATTATTAGAGAGTGTCTTTGCTGCTGAACTTCAATAATCCAATTCAATCATACTAATAAACAAAAATGGAATTCATAAAAGAGTTCGCAAAAAGTAACCGACCTACTGGCGAGATCCTGAAGTGGCATATGATCGTCACTTTACTATACCATGTGGCCATGGGAGAGGATTTGTGAATGGCAGTGAAGCGAAGTGTAACTTCGGTAGGTCCAGATTACTTTCATACTACACACATTTTTATAAAACATACTTTTTAGCTGTCGTGAAGTAATTGTTAATAAGTATGCAATATCGGACGCAGCCTTGAAGTTTCTTCTCTTGTGTCCTGCAATTCAAAATGCAACACAATTGAAAGGTTTTATGTGAGATGCTCCCTCTACTGTACAGGCATGAGTTTGCATTTAGATTCAGCCTGAGCCTTTGTGCATCATCCTTTCCTTTCCTGGTGTCTAAGCTCCACCCCCTTAGTATGCGAGGTATAGATAAACCTACAGTATCTCACAAAAGTGACTACACCCCTCACATTTCAGCAAACATTTTAGTATATCTAAGGGACAACAGAAGTCAATGTGCTGCTTGTATAGCAGTATATATTTACTGTTCTCTGGAGATAACTCAACATAAAGCCATTATTGTCAAAACATCTGGCAACAAAAGCAAGTACACCACACCCTAAATGAACATGTCAAGACTGTGTCCAAAGTGTCAATATTTTGTGTGAGCACCATTGTTATCTAGCACTGCCTTAATCCTCCTATGGAGTTCACCAGAGCTGCACAAGGTGGGGATCCTTTTCCACTCCTCCATAATGACATCACAGAGCTGCTGGATATTAGACACGTGGTGCTTCTCTACCTTCTGCTTGAGGACGCCCCATGGGTGTTCAATAAGGTCCAGGTCTGGAGATATACTTGGCCACTCATTCACCTTTTATATACCTCAGCAAGGCAGTTGTCATCTTGGCGGTGTGTTTGGGGTCGTTATCATGCCATTCAGCCCAGTTTCTGAAGTGAGGGCATCATGTTCTGCTTCAGAATGTCGCAGTACATATTGAAATCCATGTTTCCCTCAATGAAGCTCAACTCCCCAGTACCAGCAGCACTCATGCAGCCCCAGACCATGACGTTACCACCAACTTCCTCGACTGTAGGCAAGACACAATTCTCTTGGTACTCCTTACCATTGCGCCACACATGCTGTACACCATCTGAGCCAAACAAGTTTATCTGAGTCTCATCGGGCCACAGGACATGGTTCCAGGAAGTCATACTATTGGACAGGTTGCTTTCAGGGCTTCAGAAGAGGCTTCCTTCTGTGGCATATGGTCTGAGCACTGACTTATTTGATTGATCGTTGCAAGACCTGTTCTGAGTGGAGCCCGTCTTGGAAAACCTGTTTCAGGGTGTTACCAATCTTCTTATAGCCTAGGCAATCTTTGTGGAGAGTAACAATTCTAATTCTCAAATCCTTGGAGAGTTCTTTGCCATGAGTTTCCATGTTGAACATCCAGTGGTCAGTATTACCCCTTTTCCACCAAAAAAAGAACTGGTTCGGAACTGGTGCTGGTTCAAAGTTGGTTCGGAGTTGGTTCAACTTGCGAACCTTTTCAGAACCTGTTTGTTTTTCCACTGACTAGAGCGCCCAGGGAACGACGTCGTTACGTCACTGTGTACGTCGCCATACGTCTTAGCTAGAAACGCTTGCAAGTACAACATTACTTTGGGATTATCTCTAACTCGTGTACCAAGAAGGCTTTGAAAAACAATTGAAATATGGAAGTCTTTTAATCTTTCCCTTTGATATGTAATCTTTTCTGATTAGTAATGTACCCCTGTCTTGTGTTTTTCTTTCTTTCCATTTATTTGTTCTATATTGTGACTGTTTTCTTCTTTGCTTATAATGTTTTCAATAAAAAATTGAAACGCTTGCGTTAACTTCAATCATAACAATTACAGGCGGACTCCATCGTGTTTCTGCAGTTTCTCCTGGCTTTGCGATGGTCAGAAAATATGTTTAGAACACATCTAAACCCGCCCCAGCCCCCGATGTAAGCATGACGTGGTAAAAAAAACGGTTCTAGTCAAGCAAAGTGTTGGTGCCGCTTAGGAACCAGTTTTCCCGACCGAGAACCGGTAATTTGGCTGTCGAAACACAAAGAACTGGTTCGCGCACAGGCTCTGAACCGGCTCTCAAAATGCTTTGGTGGAAAAGGGGTATATGAGCAACATGACATCATGACTTTTCCGTAAACATACACGCCACTTTCGAGTCAAGTGGCGTGTTATCTCAACGCATTTTGAGCTATCCGCGTGTATCCGCGTGTCTGTCTACGCCTTTAACGTCCGAGCGATTCCGCGTGTCTGTACACGCCGTCAAATGTCCCCGCGAAACGAAGCAAAATGTAGATCTACATCTGGGGAGCGATCTTTTTTTTCCTAGGATGGTAAGGGAACTGTCATAAATGCCATTAACCCCAGTGACGGGTAGGTTTAGGGACGGGGTTGAGGCAAGTCATATATTTATATAACGTTAAAGGGTTAGTTCACCCAAAAATGAAAATTCTGTCAGTATTTACTCACCCTCATGTTGTTCCAACCCCGTAAGACCTTCGTTCATCTTCGAAACACAAATTAAGATATTTAAGATATTAAGATCGCTCCTGCATACAGTCCATAGGCTTCTTGAGGGACTGGCTCTTGCTGTCCCCGAAAAGTCATTAAAGACATCGTTAAAATAGTCCAAGTGACTACAGGGGCTCAATCTTAAGTTTATCAAACGACGAGAACACTTTTGTGCGCAAAAAAAACAACAAAAATAACGACTTTATTTCAACTATTCACTTCCTTCTCTATGCGCCTCTAGTCAGTTAACGTAGTGTGATGGCGTAGAGCTACGTCACACGCAGGCTCACTATTGGCCGACACTGGTCATGTGTGTGTGATGCGTGTGACGTACAATAACAGAAGCTTACGCTATTAAACTAGTAACCTAGTTTAACCTAGACTCGCGCAGAGGGAGAAATAGACGAATAGTTGAAATAAAGTCGTTATTTTTGTTGTTTTTTTGAGCACAAAAGTGTTCTCGTCGTTTGATAAACTTAAGATTGAGCCCCTGTAGTCACTTGGACTATTTTAACGATGTCTTTAATGACTTTTCGGGGACAGCAAGAGCCAGTCCCTCAAGAAGCCTATGGACTGTATGCAGGAGCGATCTTAATATCTTAAATATCTTAATTTGTGTTCCGAAGATGAACGAAGGTCTTACGGGGTTGGAACAACATGAGGGTGAGTAAATACTGACAGAATTTTCATTTTTGGGTGAACTAACCCTTTAAGTCAACGGCGTTCATAAACACGCTGAAAAGCGATTATGCGTCTTGATAGCACGCCAAAAATGGAAATACGAATTGGCGTGTCATACACACGCTACTTCATGAGATCAGTCTGATATGAGAGACTCAAAGCACAAATTTTAACTGCTCTAATAAAATATACGCAGATTTCTGTGGTCCTGTCAAGCAGACAAAAAGATGCGCACGACTCCTCGCTCCTCATTCCTCGTGGTGCAAAAGAACTGAGATGTCCTTCAAGATGGCTGAACGAAGGAGCGAGGAAACATATTTTTGAGTATTGAAAAGCACCCTTGGTGTGAAAGGGCCTTTACATTTTCCATAAACAGAACTTTTTTTGTTATTATAAAACAAAACAAGCCCAGCCCAGGTGAGAAAAAGTAATGCAATGCATTACTTTGCATAAAAGTAACTTTTTTAGGGAGTAGCTCAATATTGTAAAACATTACTTTTTATACTTCTACTCAAAAATAAGCTGGTACATTATTCAAGGGGTCAGTTCATGCCTATGTTAGAAAGTGTTTAGAAGGGAGCGAGCAGAAGGTTACGTTGCGTGTTTCAGCATGAAAATTAAGAAAGACATGCACTGTTCAAAAGTGTTAATTTGTAGCTGTTTTTATTAAATCAGTGTAAAAATACAATCAAACTCATTTGGTTACAAAATCATGAATCAGTGGTAGTTACAAATTTATTTATTGGTTATCGCAAAAATAAATAGTATTTGTATACTTGGTCCCCAAGTTGCATTTGGGTTCGGGTAATACACACACACACACTCACACACACAGATTCCCACAAGTTATAGCCATTGAATGGCTTACAGTACATATTGAGCATTGCTTGAGCAGAAAGTTACACAAAAATACAAAATCTTTGCTGCTCCTTGAGAAAACCCTGAATAAGTGGCAAAAACATTAAGAAACTGAGGTAATGTTCAGTTTCTCTTAATATTGATGCAATTTTGTGGCATTGGAAGAAAGCAGCAGGAAGTCATAGAACGTGTCATTTGTTTATAAACCACAACTGAATTTGTGTTTTTATTGCATACTGTGTTTTTGGTATTTCATTCGTCAATAAATCACTTAGATCAGGGGTCCAATCTGCTCCTGGAGGGCCACTGTCCAGCTCCAACATACCTCAACACACATGCCTGAAAGTTTCTAGCAATTCACTTCAAGGCAAGCCTGCAACCATAGCCGAAAAAAGCGCAAACGCCTGCTAATGCTGCGGTAGGCAGGGAATGGATGTTTTAATGGATGACAATGGAGAGGCATCACTACGCTTTTGTGAGGAAATAGCTTATTTAATTTAGTCGACAGCCCATCGACTGATCTTCAACATATTTGCAGTTAAACATTGTTTTGGATTGATGTATTTTTAGAGTATACACTGAAAAAAAAGGCTGTTTTATAAGAGAAGTCACGGACAATTGCGCGACAGGTATGATTCAGTTCAAGGCATTTCTCATTGATTTCTATGGTATCTGCAAACTGTGATTGACTGTTGCCAAGGCTGTAATGGGATTGGTTATGAAGGCACACGTAATCCAAGTTAGCCGTTACACTTTCTCCAATTGTAGAGCCCATGTATCTTCCAACAATAAGACCATCTCTGTTTCTAGAATGCCCGGTAAGATCTTGATCGGCTGGTTCAGGTGTTTAATTGGTGTTGGTGGAGCTAAACTCTTCAGGACAGTGGCCCTCCAGGAGGATTGGACATCCCTTATTTTAATTAGATTATATAGAGCGGTGCAGGTATGACGTCACTTTGTAGGCCAAAACATGGAAGCGAGTTAGCATTGGAGCTAACGGTTACATCGTTTCGAAGTCAACAGGTTTTTTTGAATGGGGTTTTGGTTAAATGGCTGAAATAAAGTCAAGACATTTTCCCTTTTTATTCTATGACATCAAATAAATCTGTGATAGTTAAGCTGTTAAGTGTCTTGAAAAAGGCGTTTGCTAACAAGTGGCTAAATGCGACTGCAGAGGCTGTCGGGGAGATTAAACAACATCACGGTGAACAGGTAAACTCAGTCCGCTTTCACAGACTCATTGTGATTATAATTGTGCTTTTATATAAACTAAACTAGCGTTCAGGGAAAATGTTTTTAGATAAAAACTGAAACAGTTGTCAGAAGCTTAGCGATGGTGACGTTGAAGTCGAGCGACTGTGTTGTAGTTCGTTTATAGCCTCCTTTAGCTTTTAACTTCTGGCGACTGCATTTAGGCTTCAAAATTCATTAAAAGTTGATTATAATGATGGACAAAACCAAGTATCATACACTTTTGTTGACCACAAAGCTTATAATCCAAAAGCCTATTGGGTTTTTTTTCCAGGGAACCAGTGTGATGCGAACTGCCGTTTGGCCTACAAAGTGACATCATACCTGCACCACAGTACAAATTCATGATCCACGATCAATGGCAATTTGTTCTTTGACAGATAAAGATACAAACTGCAAAGGCATTTGTACAGTAATGTAAGGTTAGACTAAGCGAGGAAATAAAAGGTCAAATTAACGTTTGTCTATGAGAAGGCAATACTAACAATAGGCTTTATATAAATATATACATTTCTATCTGAAGACATTCAGAAAAGGACGCACTTTCATTCTCAAGAGAACATTCCTTTACATATATTTCACCAAACTATTTTCATGCAATTTTAAAGTCTTCTGTCCAATACACTCCATTCATTTTCACAGTAGTGCAACATAACTTCAAATATCTAGATAAAGACATAGTTTGTGCTGCGTTAAACATTAACATCATAAACTCAGCATTGAGATATCAGGCCTTTTCCTGTATTAACTGTTGGTGACTGTTGGTGAAGATGATTGTGTGTCCTACAGCTATTCATAATAAAGGTGCACCAAGTATTTTTTTCCCATTTAAAGTTTTAAACCTAAATGTATTATAAACTATTTTGGCAAATATGTTTAAAATGATGTACCATGAGATGAAGAAGTCTTGTCAGTGGCCTAGTAAAGCGGTTACAGTAATAAGGCAGGTTGCAGGATCACATGACCAGCTGAATAATACAAACAGATAAAAAAAAATACTCCTCCAGAATAGAAATACGTGAATGGTTAATAAATGAATGTTATTGAAAAAATGTTTGTGAATAGACACTTTCTACAATGACATCGGAACCTGAAAACTTTTCCTTTTCCAACCACACCCATAGGTTCAGATTCAGAATAAAGTCCCAGACCATTGTCATATCAGCCAGTAAAACAAAGAAAAATCACTTAGTGCACCTTTTGATTTTAAATTTATACACTGTTATTATGTCAAAAAAGGTAACTAGTAGAACTACTGTGAAAAAAAACATGCTTTGTGCTAACATAGTTATACAATACTACTCTTATGGCTGTGCTGCCTTATTATAGGTGAAGTTTAAATAAGATTTTAACGATGACAATGTACAAAAAACATTACTATTATCAAATTTAATTTCAGCCTGAATTGCTAGTGTGTACATCGGTTTTAAAATCCTTATTTCTTATATAAACTACAGGCTAAAAGTTTGGAAGAATCAATTTTTTAAAATGTTTTTGAAAGAAGTCTCTTCATCTCACCAAGGCTGCTGTTATTTAACTAAAAATACAGTAAAAAAGTAATATTGAAAAATATTAGCACAATTTAAAATAACTGATGCCCAATTATTAACCATGGTTCTTATTATTAACAGTTTTGAAAACCGGTTAATATTTTAAGATTTTTTCGATAAATAGAAAATACAAAAGAACAGCATCTATTTAAAATAGAAAATATTTTGTAACATTATAAACACTTTTGATCAACATTGATTACAATAAGAAATGTTTCTTGAGCATGTAACACTGAAGACGAGTAATGATGCTGAAAATTCACAGGAATAAATTACATTTTTAAATATATCCAAACATTTATTTCAGTTATCACATACATGCACACTTGGTGAACTTCTTTCAAAAAAAAAAATGAAATCTTAATCATTCCAAACTTTTGACAGGTAGTATAACACCTTGTATAGTTATAACATGAAATCCTGGATAACTCAGAATTCATCCCACAGTAAACTTAAAGCTCTATTTGTGCCTTTAAGACACGAAATACTCTGAATCTTCCCCCAAAAAACAAAACCTTACAAATCCACATGCAAAAACAAGATTCTCCTTTGTGTAAATGTCTATAACAAAGTGCATTGAAGTGTAGTCAGACACCTTAGGACGCACAGGTTAAGTCACCTTAATAGAGGGCTTCCTGTGCACACAGAGAAGAGTGACGTATGGCACTCCGATAAAAGCCCATTTCTCGCTGGGCCAGAATTTGACAACCGGCCCCTGCTCTGGAGCCTCAGACGCCGCGTCAAAATAAGCAAAACAAACACATCCCAGGTAGGACGCCAGGCAGATCAGGATATGCCTATAAACAGATGCATAAAGGGGAGAAATGTGCAGCAAATTATATATTATAACAACAATCAAATAATAATAATTATTGGGTTTTTATATGTACAATGGATATCAGCCCAAAAATCTGTACAGTAATATGGACATAACGTTTTCAGTTTACAAACATTTCAGAATCTTCACTTTTGGGTAAAGACTACACTACACTAAACTAAACTTTACACTAAATATTTAAAGTAAATTCTACACCACTTTTTTCACTCAGAAACTTAACACATAATAATTACAAAGAAATGCAAGTAAAACACATTTTGTAGAAGAAAGACTGAACTATTTTTTCTTGTAAAAAAGTATTCTTACAATGTTTTATTTACAACTTCAAAAAAAAAAAAAGATTTTACAGTGTAAAAAAGTACAAAAATAGATACTTTGAGAGAAAACAAAAAGTTGAATAAGGTATTTTGTATTACATTTATTAAAGTACATCAGTGTTATTTTAATACCATTTAGACACTATTTTATTTTATATTAATTATCATATAATATATATATAAAAATACTATAATTTTATCAATTTTTTGAATGTTTTCATTTTTGTATTTCTGTTTTCATTTTCATTTTAGTTAATGTTTTTGTCATTCTGTTTTGACATTTTTATTATTTTTTGTTTTTTAAAAATATGTCTATATAATTTTTTATTTCAGATTTAACGTGTTGTTTTAGTGCATCAATTTCAACTAAATGAATAAGGTCGCCTTGGCAACTAGTTAAAATAAAATACATTTTTTGTTTTTTTTTAATTTTACTTTTTTTTTTTTACTTTTAGTAAGTTAAAGTAACGAAAATGTTTTTCATGGTTTAAGTTCTAGTTTTAATTTTAGTAATATAACAACCCAAACTACATTCATGTTCAACTGGATTAATAATTTACATTTACAAACTTTTTTTGAGCTGAACCCCGTATACTAAATGTAAACTTTACTACAAAAGATTTAAAATTTTGAATTTTAATTTGAAGTTAATACTTCAATAATTTAACAACACATTCATCTTAAATCTTGTTTAATGGTCATATGACATGTATTTTAATATTTCTCTTTTGAGATTTCATTAATTAGTAGCTACTTCCAAACCCCCCCTCACTTCACTCACGAACACCAGTTTGGGAAACCCTGCTCTAAAGGAAAAGTACATAGAGTAAAGCAATGTTGCAATGTGTTGACAATGCTCACGGTGGCTTACTTGTATGTGCAGCACACTGAGGATGCACACTAGGTGCTGTATGATGTGACAAGTGCACTTACCAGGCACAGTGTAGATACGGGAAGTTGACAGATGACCACATCTCACAGAAAATGCGATCACTAATCCAGCACACGAGTGCAAGAGTCCACCACAGACCCGAGAGCAGACCCAGCTTGAACACACGCAGGTTGTCACACCTATAGACATTATAAACACAAGCAGGATGTGTTTGATTAGCAGGTGCTACTGTTCATACTTACACTTCCTTGAACAACAGAGTTATTATAGTATGAGCAATGCATTTAATAAAAATAACCGTGTTGGTTAATAAAAATACAACTATTCATCTTAGCACAGGTCCATTATGGTAAATAATATTAACAGATACAACTTTTGATTTTAATAATGTAATAGTAAATGTTTAAATTAACTAAGACTAATACATGCTTTAGAAGTATTTTTAAGTAGTTAATGTTAACAAATAGATTCTTATTATAAAGTATTATTACTAAAAACATTTTTAACTTGAAATAAAATAAATGTTAACTGAAATAAAATATATAAAAATAATTTTATTTTAGTTTAACTTGATGTACTAAAATAACTAAATACAACAAACTATCTATCTATCTATCTATCTATCTATCTATCTATCTATCTATCTATCTATCTATCTATCTATCTATCTATCTATCTATAAAAATATTATCTCAATGATACTAATATAATGCCACACAACCAGTCAAATAGTGCAGCTTTTGGAAGATGTGTACTATTACTTTTATAAGTTATTGCACTCACGATTCTCACGATTATATCTAGTACATCTGATTTAGTATTGGATAAAATGGCCAACAGCCTGTTTGCTTGACATTAAATAACAGTAAATGATGTTGTTTCATCCGAAAGTGATCTTAGTCACGATTTTTCCCAGATGGGATCAAGCTGTTGATCATTTTCACAGTCCTGCCCACACACAACCAACCGAATCACTCGTTATAACGGTACACAAACACGGTGGCTAACGGATGAATGTTTCTTACCGTGGAAGTGTTGTTATTGTTTATTAAAACTAAAACTATTTGAATTGATGAAAAGGGATTTTTAATAAAGCTGAAATTAAATAAAATATAATTGTTATTAAGGTGTTAGTGAGGTTGTTCTTTGTAAAACTGCAAACATTTTTAAATGACAATGTAATTTCTATTCAAAATATGTCTCAAATACGAGGGAGACGTATATTGAACAAGGAAGGGACAAAGGACATGGATGTGAAATGAACGCACTAAGAACTTAATCGTATTAGATAAAAAAAATATATGTGGACAAAGATTGCAGTTTGGGGACATTTGCAGTTGAATTTTTTTATAAATCAGAATATATTGCTATAAATAATCACAATACTCAGCATATCACAAAATGTTTGAAACTGCAATAATATACAGTGGATTAAGTATCGTGATAATATAGTATGATGAGCCTCTGGTAATTCCCACCCAAGTCTAGTCATATCTATAAATAGAGAATCGTTGTCACTTTGAAGTGTGTATGCTGTAGGAGTTGCGTAAGTTAGAACGAGCTATGAAAGTTGACATGGAGCAGCTAAATCTAAAACCTCTGGGGAATCCAAGCACCCGCTTGTCTCATTCCCTCTCACAGTGTTTTAATAGTGGCAATTGCCAAAGAGTGGCCTGGTTTCACAGACAGGGCTCAGATTAAGCCAGAATTAGGCTTTAGTTCAATTAGGACATTTAAGTAGCTTTTATAAACATGTCTTAGAATCTTGAGACAAAAAACAGTGGCAGTGACATTTTTCATTTGTCAGTGCAAGTTGCATTCAACACTTCTTTGGTTGCCTGTTTGTTTAGGTTCTTGCTTCTGTAAGTCAGTCGCTAGTTCCGCCTTCTCAATGACATCACGCACATAGTCAAAGAAGGCAAGCCATGATTGGTCGATAAGCAACGTGTAGTCTGACATGTTTCTTGTCCACCACACAACAGGAATTTCGAGTCAAAATCGCATAAACTAACATTGACTAATCACAGAACGGGGAGGGAGCAGCAAGACAATGACGACGTTTATGCGACACACCGAAGCAGTTTGTTTAAACCTATGGATCAAGCATGGCAGCAGACGCGAAGTTACCTTTCAAAGCAGCCTTAGATATTGTTCTAAGACTAAGTCGTTTATTTATAGTAGACATCGTCTTATTCCTTGTCGAATTTCTATCCGTCATCTGGTATAATTGAACCGATTGGCTATGAGCTACATACAGGCGCATTTGATAGACATTTGTAACACCCAATAAACGGCGCTGGGCATTCGTAAACCACGCCTCAGATACGAGAAAATGAACATGTGGTTGCCAGACCACATCTCAATCTCAATGAGATGAGGTCTGACGTTAGCCAGGCTAAGTGACTATCATAACAGACCAAAATATTGTGTAGTCCGAACCCGGCATTACAGAGTTCATTGTGAAGGGTCATATGCTTTGCTATAGCGCTGTGCTGGAATTTATTTTCAAGGAAGTACCATGTTTATTAATAGAGCCAGACCGATATATCGGCAGGCCGATTTTATCGGCCGATATTAGGAATTTTCCAAACTATCGGTATCGGCAGTTATAATGGCCAATAAATGTTTATTTCAAAAATAAAATATAAACGGATGAAACACACTTGAACCATGTCATGAGTGTTGGAGTTGTATAGTTTGTCCTCCAGAGGGCACTCTACACAGTCCCTGTTGGCAACACTCCTTGAGTTGGTCACGAGACATACATTGCTGGAATAACAATTAAAAGAACATCCCCATCAGTTCTCTTAACTCAAATAAGCAACAAAATTTGTGACTAAGTCCAGTTTTGCTGCTGTTAAATAAGCCGAGAGTGAAGCGTAAATAGCTAGTAATAGTTAAGTTACGTTGTTACAGTGTAGTTGACTGACTGTCCTTTTAACTTTTTATAATGTGACTGAAGTATTTCTTTAATAGCACGTGACAGTTATAGCAATAAGACGCATCATCTCTCCTTGGCCTGTAATATTGAAAATGTATGTTTTACAATTTGCAGTATAACGTTATCCATTGCTACATTATGGCTCATCATAGACTAGCTAACCATAAAGCTAGCTAATGCCACTATCATCAGTCTGTTCTGTGTGACAATAAAAGAAACAAGTTTCTTTTCAAAATGTATTATCATATTATTTTAGTTAAAACTCATAAATAGCTACAAATAACTAATGTTAGGGAAATCTGTTAATGTTTTGTTGTGCGTTTCTCGAAAAAAAAAAACGGCCGATATATCGGAATATCAGATTTTAAAACCAAAAAATATTTGTATCGGTATCGGCCTTCAAAATCCTTTATCGTTCGGGCTATTTATTAATGCGTGTAGCTACATTAACGTCTTCAGCTAGTCAGCTTGAGATTCTTTTCATCTAAACTGGTTATATCTCTTTAGCGTTGAGGTGAATGTTGGATATGAGCAGTAGGATAATCTCTTCACTTTTTTTTGTCAGGAGAAAGAACCACAATCCTCTGCACAGTCATGCAAAATCAATGCACAACCAAAACAATACTTTCACAAAACGAATGCAGGCTAAAAAGTTACTTACAGTACCTTTAAACTAAAAAAAACTTGAGAATGAGTAATTGAGTAATGTTCCATGGTTTACTTACTGCAATAAAATAAAAGCTAAACAGAGACATAAAAAATTACTAGCAGATTACAAAATTATTAAATTAATAATAATATTAATAAATTATTTAATTGTAAAGATCAGTGCAGTGGCCAATGAAAAATCATTTTTAAAAGAGTTTTTGAGTGATGAAAACAATGTTGAAGGCACTGTTTAGAAAGAAAATAAGAGCGCTAGCAGGGGTGGTGTAAAAATAGTGAGAAAAGAAAGAGAGAGAGAGAAACAGGAAATGCAAACTGTTACTCAGACAGACTGAAAAACAAAGTTTTGAAGTACACTTCGAATACTTTAAAAAAAAAAGAAGCAATTATTATGAAATAATATACTTAAGTGTGAACTGAAGAGAGTGATCTTGGACACTTTAACTGCAATTAAATTTAAATGCAATATAGTTTTAAATTTATATTAAATGCAATTCGCTGTGCTTTTTGACACATTTAAGTAAGACTTAGGCATATCTTAATATGTAATTTCATAATTACTTCTACTGCAGGGTCTCCTGATAAGCGTCTAAAAACAAATATACTTTAAAGGAGAACTCTGGCGCAAAATTAACTTTTGGTTCAATCGTTTGTTTCGTTCGTTGAATGAACCAAATGACTCGAACAGGAGAACAGGAGAGTCACAAACGTGCGTCACAGAACAGAGCAAGGCAAGCATTTGAGCTTATAAAACTTAAACTTTGTTATTTATTTATTAAATGAGCGATCGTTTCGCTTGATAAGACCCTTATTCATCGTCTGGAATCGTTTAAAGCCCTTTGAACAGCTTGCAGTTTGTACTGAAAGTGTCTTTTGGACCTTGAACCGTTTGGTTCCCATTTAAGTCCATTATATGGAGAAAAATGCTGGAATGTTTTCATCAAAAACCTTAATTTCTTTTCAACTGAAGGAAGAATGACATGGACATCTTGGATGACAAGGGGTGAGTAAATTATCAGTAGAAGTTTTTTTAAAAGTGAACTACTCCTTTAAACTTGTATGCTATGTATTTAAATATTTATAATCACACAATTGTAACAATGAAGTTGCAATTTAGTACCTTTAAAGGTTGCCCTTTAGGTGATGTTGTAACATTGTACTTACTCATAAGTACTGAGTAATATTATTAATTATTACATGTACTTACTACAGAGTTATGGTTAGGGTTTAATAGGGTTAGTTATTTGTAATTATGCATAATTTACTGTACTATAGTAAGTACATGAAGTAACGTGTAACTACGTCACCTTAAAATAAAGTGTTGCAATACTGTATATTAAGTTTAAGTGTAATAATGAATGACAAACTACTGTTAATATTTTAATCAAGTATTCCACGTCAGACCAGTACTGCGTGAAAAAACATCCTGCCGTTGTACTTTCTATGTTTGTTTGACAAAATATTGACCTTAGCAAGAATATTGCATCCTTTTTAATTTATGACTGTCCATTAAGCAGGAGGACATATGAAGGGCCAAAACAAACTGCATTAGATACAATGGAACAGACCAAAGTCCAAGCTATTTAGGAGACAGAAATGGTAGAAATTTAACACACCCTAATATATATATATATATATATAGTACATCTACATATCTACATTTAAGAAACATTTAGCAAAATTCAGTTTAACTTTTAAGAGTTGTCATGCATTAGTTCCTAGTTAGTTCCTAATGTAGAAGCACACGGTTATCTGTTATACATAACTACAACTTTGCTATAAGGTAAACCTACATCTAACCGGTCTGAACGCAGAGAGAAACGCTATCAGGAAAACCACAGCAGTACATCTCATTTTCAGGAAGCTGCTGATAAGTATTTATCTACACAGCAAAGCAAATGAACTCTTTACATATCTGGACAGGGTTTCCTGAGGCCAGAGGATTTCAAGCATGTGTGCTAAAGAACAAATTTCACAATGACTCTCTTTAAAAACAAAAGCAAGGGTCAATAGACAGTTTGAAACTTAAAGAGATCGCTCACCCAAAAATGAAAATTCTGTCATAATTTACCCACTCACATGTTGTTCCAAACCCGTTTAAATGTATTTGTACCTTTGAACACAGAGGAAGATATTTAGAAGAATGTGAGAAACTGAACAGTTTTGGGGCACCATTGACTTACAATATTTTCTTTTCCTACTATGGTAGTCAATGAAAGCAGCCTGGTTACAAATAGTCTTCAGAATATCTTCTTTTGTGTTCAGCAGAACAAAGAAATTTAAACAGGTTTGGAAAAAAATTGAGGATGAACTAATGATTTTTCATATTTGGATGAACTATCCCTTTAATAAACTACATTTTGGATGTTCTGAAGAAAATGTAAGTGGCCCAACCTCACATGTTTAATGTACATCTATGGTATCTTATTTAATTTTTGTACCTGTTTCATGGTCTTCCATGTGAAAATCATAAATCAGGCCTCTTTCACCCATTGTGAAAAAAGGCTGCTTAACTCTATTGAATGTGCACTTGTAGTGTAACTGAAATCTTAAAATTATATTTAAAAAACTTTGCAGATACTATCAAATTCATTAAATAAAAGGCCACCTAAGTTTACTTAAACGAGAGTACACTTTATTATCTATAACACACTTAAGTACACTTTTAATAAGAGCACTTCTTAATGATGTCAAATTAAAAGTTATAGGTGATTCTCTAGAGAAACATTTTTGTTAAGCTGGTTGAAAGTCTCCTCATCACTATGTTAAGCAGTATTAATGTATTTATAGATTTATATTATCTGTGGAATGAATAAGACCATAAAATGTTCGTTTAATCATTGCATTCGGTCCGAATGAAATGATAGCATGCGTTTTCCGATCAGTCAACGTGTGTTAGCATACGACTGAGCAGCCTGTTCACGCAGACATCTTGCGTCATCAACGCGTTTCACATACGCTGTGCAGGCAGAGCACGAATGGATGGCTGGCAAACAGCAACTTATGGCAAGTACAGTTCTATATACTTCTGACTTAGCCCTATATGCAGATAATTCAGTGAGATTCTACACTGTCACCGCTTTGTCCTGAAATCGCACAGGCTGAAATACAATCCATTCCTTTTTACTTTATGTCAACAGGTTAACTTCTGAACTGGAGTCATATAAATGTATATATAAATATTAGTGCTGTCAAATGATTAATCGCGATTAATCGCATCCAAAATAAAAGTTTGTGTTTACATAATATATGTGGGTGCACTGTGTATAATTATTTTATATATATATATATAAATACACAACCATGCTTGTATATATTTAGGAAATATTTTCATGTATATACTGTATATAGATATATATATATAATTTAAATTATATATAAATATAAATATTTTATATATAATTTTTTTTCTTAAATATACATGCATGTGTGTATTTATATATATATATATATATATAAATATATATATAAAATAATTATACACAGTGCACCCACATATATTATGTAAACACAAACTTTTATTTTGGATGCGATTAATCGCGATTAATCGTTTGGCAGCCCTAATAAATATATAATATAAATGTAAACTATAATACATTGTCATTTAATACCAACTAACATTCAATTAGGTGTCCAAAAACATTACAAGCATTTTATTTAAAAATGGATTATTTTCATAATAAGTACTTACTCTTTTTAAAAGTAAGCTAAAGTGTATTTTTCACAAGGAGCAGCACACAAAACATGAGGGACAAGTTAAGCGACCCATAGGGTTATGGATTTGAACAAACCTCTAATTGTTGAAAAAACACTAATTTGAAGCTGGAAACCATGTTCTTTCCTATACATTAAATCCAATTCATTTTACAAATACAATAGTCAAGATTGCCTTAAAAAAATGCTTAACGTATAGGGACTTTGGAATATAAATAAAGACATATAAAGGCTATTTAAAGGAAGCTGTCACTGTGATTTGAAATGAACATGCACAGCAATAAATATGTAATGCGATAACATGGAAAGCACTGATGCTGAGTTTCAACAAGCGCACTGACCTCTTTAGCTCAGTGATGAGAAGAGCAGTGCACGGGATTCCCAGCGTCATGAGAGAGATGGAGTTTATCGCTGGCTTGATGAAGGCCAGACAGGTGGTGATCCCTGAGAGAATGCCGATGACCATCTTAAACCTCGATCTAGTGACAAACAGGGAAAGACAAAAAGGGGAAAAAAAACATGAACAAGAGAAAGGCAGCGCAGAACGTTGTGCAGAATCACTATCGATCAAAATGTGTGTGCTTGTGGATATGAGAGCACACCTGTCTTTACGGAATATCCTGGGAAGATATCTCTTGGGAAACCACATGCCGATGGCACACATGAGCACCCACAGTATGGCCAGTTCATCCAGCATCTGCCCCAGGAAGCTCAGCGTAGCATGGAAATAAGTTGAGCCAATACCTAAAGAGCAGTCGTATGAATGTACATTGAAAACGAATAAAACGTTTTGAATTTAATTTTAAATAACGTACAATTTTGGATTAAACTGCTCCCTTCCATTGACATCTCTTGAAAAGAACTACACTTTAGCATATTATTAATAAGAGTGACACGTTTACTTTAAATATATAATATAATAATGTTTTTGGACAGTTAATTGCATGTTACTATAGCTTATATTTATATTAAATGCAATTGGCTGAACTTTAGAATGCTTTTTTAACCATTCTATGTAGATCTTTATATTATTTTCAGAATTACTTCTATTGTCTTTGAAATACGGTTAAAGTGTACTGCTGAATATCTTAAACTAAAATATACTTATGTCAATTCTATTGAAATGTGTTATGTATTTGTATTTGTAATGAATATATTACATGTAATCTTAAATAACTTTATAAATACTGTACAAATACTGTACAAATACTCTCTCCATGTGCTTTATGTTAGTCAACACATCAAAGTAAGTCTACTTCTTTTTTCCAGCTAATTATTGTGAAGCTGTATAGTATACAATCTGTATAGTATAGCGCTCTATAAATCAATGTGACTTGATTTTAGTTATATTCTTAGAAGATCCAAAAGCACACAATAATTTACCCATTAAATCCCAGTTAAAAGTCTTCAAAGTGTTCTAAAAACATTCCTCCATCAAAGCGAACAGCGCCGAATCACCTAAAGGTCTGTCCTGAATGAATTCAGCCATGTCTGTGTCTAATCCTCTGACTAAACTCACTGTATTATATGACGGCGAGGAGGACTTTGACTCAAAATCCCACCCGGATTAATTAAGTCAGCAGCTTCTTTTAGAGCGGAAAAACTCTGAAGACATTTGTACAGAGCGGTGTTTGTGCTGAGCTGGCTTCCTTCCCATGTTGCTCCACAAACAGAACTGCCAGGGAGCTTTAAATACACCAGCGGTTTGTTGGGAACAAGTCACACTCCTGCACAAATACCGGACCAATTTCCCAAGTGATTGTCTTAACCTTTGTGGTTACAGGACAGAATGTAAAGTAGCCTCAAATAGTAAGTAAAAAGGAAGACGCTCTGGTTGTCAGTAAGCAGTGAGGGTGACACCAGTGTGAGAAGGGAAGCTTTTGTAAACCTAAAACTGACAGGGACATAGAGCTGCATTGTTTAAAATATGTTACGCTTCACAAATGCAGACTTGTGAAGCGCTCGGGTCATGTGAATATTAACACATCTTGCAGACGACCGAGTGAAATGTGGTCTGTGAGGTCTTCTGTAAACTGAACAAAAAGCTCCAATGACAAGGGATCAACTCATGCTGTCCTTAACCCAGGATTAATGTCCTTTGTAACCCCGGATTAAGGTCATTTTTAACCCTGGGTGTGAACCCCCGGTTTCAGCCTTGTAGGTTCATGCAGTAAATCCCAACTTTTGTTTTCGTGAACAGTAAACAGCTCACCCACATGGATATCACAGCTTTATGACACGTCAAAATCAGACTTGAAAACATGATGACTGGGGGTTTTGGTGAGCACTCAGTTTGGTGAAATTAAAGGATTAGTTCACTTCGGAATTATAATTTACTCACCCCCATGCAATCTAAGATATTCATGTCTTTTTTTCTTTAGTCGAAAAAAATTAAAGTTTTTGAGGAAAACATTCCAGGATTTTTCTCCATAATGTGGACTTCAATGGTTATCAACGGGTTAAAGGTCCAAATTAGTTTCAATGCAGCATCAAAGGGCTCTGCACAATCCCAGCCGAGTAATAAGGGTCTTAACTAGCAAAAAAATCGGCCATTTTCTAAAATAATAAATACATTTTAGCTGACGCTTTTATCCAAAGCGACTTACAATTGCTATATATGTCAGAGGTCGCACGCCTCTGGAGCAATAGGGGTTGCGTGTCTTGCTCAGGAAGGTGTCTCAGAGTGGATTCGAACCCGGGTCTCTCACACCAAAGGCATGTGTCTTATCCACTGCGCCATCACCAGCCCAAATACCTTTTAACCACTGTGAGCATGATGACTGAGTTGAAAATAGGTTGACTATTGAACAGCTGAACATACAGTAAGTTCACAAATAAAATATAGTGTTTAAATGGTAACTGAATTCACTCAGCAAAGATTATCCAGTGTTTAATTTTTTATGTGAATATTTAATATCTGTATGGTAGCTTATTATTTTTGTAGGGTATTGTAGTTGTCTATTGAGGGTGAGATTGTAATTTTCTTCTTTTTTTATTGTATTACTGAACGTTTCAACTCACTGTTGTTTGTTGTTGACAGTGAAACTGCTCTGAAATAACAGATTGAGGGGTTGGAGGTCACAAAGTTTTGCAGAAATCTAAAACCATTACTGAAGTGAGACATCAATCTTCATGTGATTTTTTTTTTTAAAGTGTGAGGGTATTTCATAACACTGCTGCATACCACAGATATATAACTGTGCTGTAATACTTTAATATTTTACTGAGATAACGTATTTCCTCAGTAGCCCTTCCTGAACTGCTCAGCTATTTCCTGAAGACTAGCATTATTCCAGGAAAGGAAGAAGAACGAGTTCACTAACTGCCACCTCCTATGTGCTGAACAACCTGAGCTCCGGCATACTTGTGTAAGTTACTTTTGGTCACGGTCACTGGAAATAATAAAGGATGAAATTTACCAACAACCACCAGTAGAGTCCATATGAGATAGATGCCACTGTTGAAATGTGTGGCGTACTGACGAAACAGACACATAAGGATTGGAGGCAAGACGAAAAACAGCACGTTGCTTATCTGAAAAGAGACAGAAACATGTTTCAACATCGTATTTGATGTAAACAGAGCAGAGGCAAAGCAGTCCTAAAGTTGATAGACTAACTGTCAGCCGCTCATATGTTAATGAGACAATATGGCACATGAAACAAAACAAAGAGAGTGCTGACCGACGTACCGTGTTATAAAATTCCGCTATTCCAGGATATATGAGATAATTCCCTTCACACCAATCCACCTCCGAGCTGCCAGCCTGGAGCTGATCCCAGAGATGCGCGTCCATCTCTGCTGCGCGTGCACTAGATGCGACCGTGACACTGGCTGAATGTCTTTACACAAAGCGCCGTCGACAGCTCTAACATACGCGTGCGGCGACAGTTTGTTTTAATCAGTGACTCATGTGTAGTCTTCTTATCTGAGCATGTCATCCTGCCTGATCCAGCCCGAGTCTAATCCAGCTCGCCTGTGTGTGCCGCTTTATGTCCTTCACTGACTTGAACAGCAGTGGCTGGCAATAACAACAGAGCAACATGTGATTCGCGCATGCGCAGAGAGGTCTGCTGTGCACTCAACGCTCGGACAAAAATCAGCGCTTTTTTATCTAGTAGGCGGCCGCCTACTCTAGTTTAGTTAATATTTCTGTCACATTTCATCAGCTGCTCAAGTAACTGTGTGGTCTATGGAATACCCAAACTTCCGAAATAAGAAATGAAACACATAAATAAATATGAAATGTGTAATACTTTTATCTCCTTATTTATGAATAGTTATTTAGTTGTATTTTTTGTGAGCATTGAAAAAATGTATTAATCGAAATTCAGGTTTTTAAAATAGAATCAATAATTTTTATAGGACTATTTAAATTTCAAAGGTAAATTCGAAACAAATAAATTCAGATACATGGTTTCCAAAGTAAAATAATTTCAAAGGGGTGAATTTAGAGCAAATAAATTCAGATAAATGTTTTTAAAAAATAAAATATTTCAGAACTAAGTATTAAGTGGCTGTTAAATTTCAAATAGTTATATTTCTGAGTTCATGGGAGTGGTCCAAGACCCTATGACTTTTGTCGCACTTAAAGAACAAATACACAAAAAATGTAATGGATACGAGGAGTTTTGTGGTAATTTTAAAAAAGTTAAAAAAAAAAATCTTTGACCCCCATAGGAATCAATGCGAGGAATGCTTCAGTACACATATAAAAACCTAAAAATGCTAAAAATTCTAACTAAAAATTGAAAGCTACCAAAAAGTTAATTTATAATGCCTATACATGTGTATTCAAATTGATAAGAATGAATACTGAAAAAAAACTGCAACCCAGCGGAACATCTCCAAATAGAGTCCATCTACTGGCAAGAGAAATATCGTGAAATGTCATTTTTTTTTTTCAGTTAAAGCTAAACGATGTAACATTTTTTACCTTAAAGGTGCATTGCGCAACATTTCATGTTAAAAATACCCGTTTTTCTAACCCATGCTTAAACAATTGCCTGATGGTCTGAATGAGGCCTTCTCTGATCACGGCAATTGCCTCTATAATCCTGTACAGTAAAATAAATAAGAGGGATTCGGGATGGACTTTGAGACTCACGCTCACCTGGCTATGTCTGGCAGATTTGTGTATTCACTGTCATTCTCCGTAATAGAGAAGACAACTCGAGCGACACAACTTTAGTCAACTTTCGTCAAAAGTAGAAGATAGATTCAAAGAGAATGGCTTGTAGTTCGATCGATAAAACCAGCTGGGCATGTGGGCACATGACCTAAAATGATAAAAAGTGGAGAATACGTAGGCCTACTATATAAATAAAAATATTGTTTATTTGATAGTTCTAGGCTACATAAAAAACTTAAAGAATGCTTTATCAAAACTCATAAATGTGAGTTGTTACATACTTACATTTTTACTTGAAACTGTTCTTAGACAGTAAATGTAGCCTACTTATTAGGATTTTAAACACTCCAGTACTGTAGGTGGCAGTATGCACATGTCAGGTCCCGCCATAAAAAGAAGAAGAATTTCACGGAAGCGATATTTTTTTCCCAGGATGGTAGGGGAAGGCATAGATATCCATAATAAAGGCTAGATGTCTTGTGGCGCCGAAGTCTCTATCGTCATCACCGGCGGGCATCTTGTCACAGGCAAGCTTTTTTTTTTTTATTAAACATTTATTTACATAATACAAATGTGAAATGCTTTAAATCACAAACAAGAGCCAGAGGTTCAAGGATTGATACATATTACATCACATTGGAATTCAACAAAGAAAGACCAAAAATAAATAAATAAATAATAATAATAATAACTTAAACAAACAGAAAATTAAAAATGGAAGTTTAATGTAAAAACAATACTCCCCACAAAAAAGAACTAAAAATAAATAGAAATAGAAAAAAAAAATATATTATCTTTTTTATACAAACACATCAAAAAGTTTTTACACATTCAAAGTTTTAGTAGCCTTTTTGTTACAAGAGGTAGATAAGGTTCTGATATAAATCTTAACATCTTCTTGAAAGTGAGAAAAATTGGGGGTAACTCTCGACTCATAGTTTTACATTTGTGGATAAAATATTTTGCAAGCAAAATAATTTGCAAAGAAAAAAAGTATTCTCATATTGCTTCTCAAAAATGAAAAACCCAAAAAGAACATCTTTGAAGTAAAGCTCAAAGTCTTTATATATAGCCTAGTTTACAATGAATTGGCAAATGTCTTGCCAAAGTTTTCTGGTATGATCACAGTGCCAAAAAAAGATGTCAGATAGTCTCTGGTTGTGAGTCACAAAAAGTACAGTTTACATCTATACTTAATTTAAATTTTCACAGGCAAGCTTCCTGGCGGGCTTTGTGGTCCCTGATGTAAGATGAGTGATCAGCACGAACACAATAGGCCTACTCTTATCTCGTTGAAATCTTGACAGATTTACAAACGGTTTGGTTTCTTACAAACGGTATTAACATGGCTATAATTCTGGATGATTATTTATTTATACACTTATTATTCGGAAGTATGCAGTGTCATAACTACATCTCTGACGTTTATAATAAACCAAACCGTTTGAAAATCGGTAGAAAATTTAGCAAGTTATGGTGATTTAAAAAGTACATGCACCATTGAAACAGTGTTACGAGTGAGCGAGCTGCCTGTTACAAGATGGCCGCCAGGTGCGAACGTCGACCCCCATTGGCCAGCAGCGCGGACGAGACATCTAGCCTCTATTATGGACATCTATGGGGGAAGGTACCGCCTTTACCGCCTCTGATTGGCTAGAATACGGTGGTACCTTCCTCTATCATCCCGTTCGCGGGTAAAATCAAATTTTGTGAATTGCGCGCTTTAAAATTTGGCTTTTAGTTCATGCTGGTTGTACCTTTGAGTGTAATCCTAAACTGAAGAAAATGCCGAACGCCGAAGTGCAAATGACAAATGGGCATTGTGCTGACGTGGAAAACAAGAGAGAAGGTGCAGGTGGAGCAGGAAAACACTTTTCTCTGTTTTGTGACGAGCGTGGTTATTTGAACCTGGTCGAGTACATTCTGCAGCAGGGAAGGAGCAAAGGCGACAGAACAGGCACCGGAGTGATCTCTGTGTTCGGGACACAGGCGAGATACAGTCTCAGAGGTGAGACAGACATGTTTCAGTAACACTTCATAGCTTTTCACTTCATGACAGATGATTATAAATTCATGTTTACGAGAAAAACAGACATGCATATGTATAAAAACGAGTGCAGTGTGTTTTCTTTTGTTATGACCATCTTATTGATCTTCTGTATGCGAACTTATTTTATGATACAGATTAGTTAACTTAATATATGCCCGTTGTGTTTCTCTAAATCAGAGGCATGTATTGAAAACTTGAATGGAAAAGCAACTGGTTAATCAAAAAATATGTAACATTTCGGGGCCTAAACATCAATAAAAAAACGTTCATTTTAAGTAAATTGCCATTTTCAACTATTAAAATAGAACTCCTACATAAAGAGTGACTATATATATATATATATATATATATATAGTCACTATATATATATATATATATATATATATAGGAAAAGTTCACCCATAAGTTCCCGAAACCCGTAAGTCTTTCATTCATCTTCGCAACACAAATGAAGATGACTGTTTGATGAAATATGAAACTTTGACGCTTCAGGGGTTAACGTAATTTAAAGAGATTGTAAAACTAATTCGTGAATTGAGCGGTTTAGCCCAAATGTTGTAAAGAAATCTCTTTTATGATGAACAGATTTAATTGAGGTTTTTATTCACATATTTACATAGATCAGCAATCATAAACTCAACCGAAGATGTTTGACAGATGATGAGAATGAACCTCATTCTTCTTCTTTCAGTTTAATTGCCGATCGCAAACTAGCATTTATAGGTAAATACCGCCACCTACTGTACAGGAGTGTGTAACATCAAGGCTTGTTTACAGACTAAATGGCTAGATTACTAACTAAAAGATTTAAATGGGTAACTATTAGTTACCAACTAATATTAATAAGAATTGTTGAACGCATACTCATATATATATATATATATATATATAAACATACATGTATGCATGCATGCATACATAGAATGAACATCATTGGTCAAACGAACATGCTTTATGCTGGGTACACACCAAAGGATTTTTTTTACATCTTATAAGATTTTCAAAATGTGATAGACCACACACATGTGGAGAAAAAATCCTAGATTTAACCGTTTTGCTCCTAAAATGTGTGGTGTAAACGAAAAGATTGTCAACCAGAGTCTCGACTGTGAACACAGGAAATCTCGCAAAATCTCATGAGACTTCAGAATAATGTTTGGAATAACAAAAAATTAACCATAGTTTCGCTAAAAAAAAAAAAAAAAACCGATACTAAACTATAGTATTTAATATATGCAAAAGACATGTATCATTTGAGGCTTAATAGGATTATAGGATCAACTACTGGTGAAATGTGATCATAATTCAAAAATCGGTTTCATAATGCACTTTGCAGATCAGTTTCCTTTGTTGACGACCAAAAGGGTTTTCTGGAAAGGCATATTGGAGGAGCTGCTGTGGTTTATCAAGGTACAGTAGGAAAATATTCCAAACTTTTTGTATCTTATTTCTGTATACAGTATTTTGTTGTTTTTTTTACTTTGTTTTTTGTTAATTTTGCTTTTATTTATTTATTTGCTTTTTGTTAATCATACTTAGGGTTCAACAAATGCCAAAGAGTTGTCACAAAAGGGCGTGAGAATCTGGGATGCTAATGGCTCCAGGGAGTTTCTGGATAAAAATGGCTTTACTGATCGTGAGGAAGGAGACCTGGGCCCAGTGTATGGCTTTCAGTGGAGACACTTTGGAGCTGAATACAATGACATGCACACTGGTATCTATTATCTATCTATCTATCTATCTATCTATCTATCTATCTATCTATCTATCTATCTATCTATCTATCTATCTATCTATCTATCTATCTATCTATCTATCTATCTATCTATCTATCTATCTATCTATCTATCTAATGTATATGTATTTATACATTTACATATAACAACTGTGTATACTGAAATATTAACTTATTTTAACAGTAAACGAAATTTTAAAGGTTCCTAATTTTTTGTAGTCTCCTATGTTTACATGTATCTACATTATGCCCTTTTCACAAGATGTTATATAAATCTATAGTATTCCCAGACTGTTTCTGTGAAATTTCAGCTCAAAATACACCCCAGATCATTTATTATAGCTAGTCAAAAGTTGCCAGTTTTTGGGTGTATCCCTTTAAATGGAGTAACAATAAGCAATACAATACACACAAGTGTCAAATTGCATTGCATTGCAAACTACATGAAAGGTCATATCTGAAAAAGCCTAACAGAGGGGCACTTTAAAATAGTTGTATAATTATCTAGCCATTAGGTTGCATAGTGTTGGTGACTAGACACTGATTATTATTCCTGCAGTGTTTCAGACCTCATTAACTGGGAGACTCGTGAAATTTGAAATGTCTTTATGCATGTATGGTAAGGATGTGTGTCTAAGGTAGGCTATTATTTCATCTCTCTATGAAGATTACTCTGGGCAAGGCGTTGACCAGTTACAGAAAGTGATTGACACCATCAAGTCAAACCCAGAAGACAGGAGGATCATCATGTGTGCTTGGAACCCCAAAGGTCTCAATCAAATTTATCCAGCAGTGTTATTTTAATGGAATTCATTTACTTCTATGATATCTATTAATGAACATTAACTAATGTATTAATGAACTAACTAACAGTCAACTATACACTTGTTACATATAAAGATGTTAGTTCAGTGCATTAACTAATGTTAACAAATTTTGGTTTTAATAATGAATTAGTTAATGTTGAAATTAACATTAAGATTAATAAATGCTGTTAAAGTATTGTTCATTATTAGTTTAACTAATGTAGTTAACTTTAATGAAAGCTTGTTGTAAAGTGTTACCAGTTTTTCCTCTAATATTGTTTTATTTAACGTATGCATGATGACATTTTATTGACAGATCTCCCATTGATGGCATTGCCCCCCTGCCATGCGTTATGCCAGTTTTATGTGTCAGACGGTGAGTTGTCGTGCCAGCTGTACCAGCGCTCTGGTGACATTGGTCTGGGTGTGCCATTCAACATTGCCAGCTACGCACTACTCACCTACATGATTGCCCACATCACTGGACTCAAGGTGAACATATTTCAGAATCGGATGCTCTGTAAAAGGGCATCTTCTTGCATACTGTAAATGTAGGGGATAATGTACACTCTTCTGGTAATCATTGTGAAATCCATGCAGGATTTTATTCAACATACAATCATTTAAATAGCTACTCTTATCAGTTAAGTAAATGGACATTTAAAAGGTTATTTCATCCATCAATGAAAACTGTGTCATTATTTACTCATGTCATTCCAGTCCCGTAAGACTTTAGTTCATCTTCAGATTAAGCAAGATATTTTTATTGATGAAAGAATTTTCACCATTTAGTATTGTTTTGAGAACTAGAAACTTGTGTAAAGATCTATATACTTATTAGACCTCAATATGGAAATTTTGGTTTGTGTACCAACCCTTTTAAAATACAAAAAGTGCACTTAAGCGTACTTAAAAGGGCGCTTATTATGGAAAAATACAATAAGGGTGTATTTACATTTGGCATGTTTGGTTTGATTAAAACAAACCCTGGTGCCACCAAACAAGCAGACCAAGACTGCTGAAAAAAGGTCTCAGTCCGCTCCTTGACAAACTAGTGTGGTTTGAATGAAATATGAACATAACACAGACCAAAGACATGGAAGCGAACCAAAACGGGACTTGATGTCACAAGATACGAACCTAGAAAGGATAGAACGCTGAAGCATATCTGTTTTTTCTCGCCATATTGGCGACGTTGCCCATCACAGGTACTGGTGCTGTGGTGCAGTCATCAGGACTGTGTCTCCTTGCAGCAGGTCTTAGTTTGTGTGTGTAATGCAGTTTTGACTACTTTACACATTTTATAATGTCTTCACAAGTTCTTAGCTGGTCAAAATACCATGTGAACTCAATGTAATGTTTTTTTTTTGTGACAAATTTCAATTAAATGAAAATACGAGTAATCTGATATTTTTTGTGGTAATAAAAATCAACCTAAGCAAAGATCCATAGCCTTTAAAATGTCTTAAAATACATAAATAAAAATTAGGCTACAATATTTGGTTCAAATAAAGTATCGAAAAACAAGTAATCATGGTTTTATAGAACAACTCTGTTAAAAACCATCAATTACCGTACACAATCATCTTATGTGCAGTGTGTGTGTGTGTGTGTATATATATATATATATATATATACACACACACACGTATATGTGTGTGTGTATGTCAGTTAATCCAAGTAGTTTTATTTAATTTATGTAAAATTTGTGTCTTACAAGTTCATGAAGATCATAGCTTGTGAAATCAGCATTCATACTAGCCTAACTATACTTGAACTCGCTGAATATATTTTGTACTCATTTTTATTTTCTCTAGCCTGGAGATTTTGTGCATACAATAGGTGATGCCCACATCTATACCAACCACATCGAGCCTTTGAAAGAGCAGGTATGTTTCATAAATTCCATAAAACTAATCTATCTGCATTCATCTACAGTGGTGTGAAAAAGGCAAAGTACACCCCATTAAAAAGTGTATTGTGAGTGTGTTTTTTCCTCTCATTTATCAAAATATTAAGGCATATAGATGTGGTAAAGGGAGGAAAATTCTCTTAGTCCATGCAAGAGATTGATGATAAATAAGAGATCTTATCTTCTAGTATCTTTCATGGGCATTTGGATTTATGTTGGTATTTTGGAATTAAACTTTCACTGTTAAATTATTTTGCCTTCACTATCAATAACTGTACAAATAAAATTCCACTATCAATATTCCTATATATTATGAAAATATTAGTTATGGTTGTGTATGGAAGAGGAGAGGTGGATATCTGTTTGCGACAATAGTTTATTAAACATATAAACGCAGATAAACCAGATAATCTAAACAGTGATGATAACAATAATCCTAACAGTGAAACATGAATCCAAACAGGGTAGATGATATGATAATCCAAATAGGGAACGGAAACGCAACAACTTTATAAACATTCATGTAAAAACAACGACCAACAAAAGACAACTGAGAGACAGGGGTATATGTATGTATACACCGGGTAACAAAAGCCTAACAAGGAACAGGTGTGGGTAATAAATTGCCATGGAAACAAACAAGGGTATCTATAGAAACAAAGGCAAACAGGAAGTGAACAAAAGGAACATTGAAAACATAAAATAGACTTCAAAATAAGTCTTGGAACACCCAAGACATAATGGTGTTTACTTATCTACAGCGTAAAAAAGTATGTTTCTAACATGTCCTGTACCCACAGATTCAGCGAGAGCCACGTCCATTCCCCAAACTCAAGATCAAACGCAAAGTTGAACAAATTAATGACTTCTCTGCGGAGGATTTTGAGATCATCGACTATGACCCCCATCCTTCAATCAAAATGCAAATGGCTGTTTAGAACTTTTTTTTTTTTTTTACACAAAATGTTATTATCTGTTACTAACTATTAATTATTAAAATCATTTTGACCAACATTTGGATTGATTTGTCTTCATTCTATATTTATGCTGACATCCGATTGGTTGTAAATAGAAGACCCGGAGGTTACAAATACTACAACCGACCATGATTTTGCTATTTGTCCAATTGTGATCTAGTTGATGCATGAATGCTGCATGGTAATGATGCATGGATCCAATACTTTTACAAAACAAGCTTTTTCTTTCTTTTGCGTTTACCTGAATACTTGACTAGATGGGCATTTTTACATAATGTGTGTCTTAATTTGCCATCAGAGATAAGAGTGCGAGAACACACAGTTGGTATCGGTACTGAAGATACTAAAATGTGCCTTAATGTTGAAATTGGTCTGTAAATTTTAGTCTGGAAAAGTGGCAGTGGCAAGTGGTGTCTTTCTACTTCTAATAAACTTTTTATACCTTTAAAATTTGCAGAGTGAAAATTTGTGTTTTAAAATGCATATTTAATTGAGTGAGATTTCATGTAAAAATGGGAATAATACAACATAATATAACATTTTAATACAAAGTGGTTGTTATATTGTAAATATAGATTTAACATTTTAGAATTAATTTTAAAATATATCTTTATTAGGCCTATATCCAATGTTTGTTAATTCATTCTTATTCATTTTCATAGATTTTGCTAAATTTCTAACCATTTCATGTGCAGCACTTTAAAATTATTACCAAAATTATTTCAAATACAAATGTCCTGAAGCATACATTTTACTGAATAAAGCATTTTGAACATAAATATTGGTTCTATCATTGCAAAATGTTAACTGCACTAATCTGATCAATGTGACTAAGGCATACAAATATTATATACATTAACATAATGATTTTTTTGTAAAGCTGCGTTGATGCAATGTGTATTGTGAAAAAGTGCTATACAAAATTAAATCAACTTTACATAGCAATCTTTTTTTTCTCACGGATTCTGTCTCATTTCAGAATGACCCAAAGCCAGCCAATTTATATAGGAATTACCCAACTACAGTAGTTGCCTCTTAAGCAAAAAAATGCAACACTTTTTACCCTACAAATGAAATCACAATGCTTTTCCTGTTTTGAATCCTAAATATGTCAAACCTTCACAGTTTATTTTAACTACTGTTCTTGACCAAACATTAGTCAAATTGAGTTGATCAGTTGTTCAGACAAACCACCAACTAGTTAATTTTGGAAATATGTTAGTCCCTCCCATGTTCTGCAGAAGAAAGACGTGCATACACGGAACAGGAGGGTAAATTGTCTGAATTTTAATGTATGGGTGAACTATAACATTGGTTACCCATCTGCTTAATTAACAAATCAGAGGCCTTGTAAACCCCCTGCCAAATGCAGCTATGTTCTTAGGATCAAATTAATATTGTAATTGAAGTGATATGTGGTTGAAATGTGAAATATACTTTTTTTTGTACACCATTTGACTCAGAAGCACCAAGTTATTGCATCTACAAATGTTATTTTGCAAATCTTCCTCAACCTTCACTTAAATCTAGTTCATCCTTGGGCAAGCGCTTCAGAGCAGACTTACACATGACAAAACATGCTTAGCAAATTATCTTTTTTTTTTTACCTCTACTTTGCTGCCCCCTTTTGGCTTTTAACAATATATTTAAAAGAGAAATGGAGTTCTGCAGCACTATTTAAACACAATACTTTTCATAACTAATGTAAGCACAACAATAAATTGGAACAGATTAAGATTGGATTGGCCCCAAAATCCCCCAATTGGAACCTTTAAGAGTGTATGGACAATATATTTTCTAGTATGTACTAAGCATCATAAGCATAATTTCAATTAGCTTTTTAGTTAAACAGGTGAGTGGCCAAAACCTGAAATCCTGTTGTTTATATGCTTCTTTTAAAAACAGTAGTGATGCATATCACCAAGTCATTTGGCTTGTCAGTACAAAACCTTATATATACATATATATGAGCATGAAGAATCCAAATATCCTTTTAATTTGAACAATGATATTACCCCACTATTTGCACTCAGGTTGATTTGAACAATGATATTACCACTGAAGTTGCACTCAGGTCGAGTATATTATGCACACTTCCTCTTGGATAAAAGAAATGTCATATTTACCTCATAAAGAAGAGACACAAGCATATTTTACTAATTAAGGCAAACAGAGACATATGTTCAAACGAACGAGCCATAAAAGCAAACAGGTTATTGCACAGGATAAAACTGGATAGGTTATGATTGACACTCCTTGACGCAGTATACCAATCAACTCTAATTAAATGTATATTAGTGTGTGTGTGTTTATAGAGCTGACCTTAGAGGTTTGTGGAGCACCATAGATAAATACGCACCATAGACACTATACACACAGTTCATTGCAACAAATGCGTCAATAGAGCCGCCATCATGGAACAGGGGAGCCCCTCCTCTTTAATGCATAAGCGCCAATGTAGGCAAAGGTCTAACGGATATAAAATCACCATTACTCATCATAAATACAATTTTGTTTTTTGGTTTGTTCCAATGGTCAGACATGTATTTATCATTGAGTCCAGAGAAAATGTAAAAAAATATATTTTTTTAAACATTCTTTTTCAGATTTTATTCGTGTGAACATCCATACGCAGCATAAAAGTCCGAAAATCCATGAATTCGAAGTACAGCAGCGTTACCTAGCTATTTCCAATCCGGATATGACGCATGCTTAGAACCCCAAGGCGACATCTACATATACATCAAGCCCGTACTCATCCCAAGGCGTCATATACGACGTTTTTGCCAAAGTGTAGACATCCAACGCACATGGCACCCTTTAGCGTCAATATGAGATATTGGGGAGAAGGCGCCTCCTAGTGGTCTAACCCAAACCCTACCCCAGACCTAAACCTACCCATACTCTGTGCGCATTATATTGACGCTAAAGGGTGCCATGTGCGTTGGATGTCTACGCTTTGGCAAAAGCGTCGTATATGACGCCTTGGGATGAAATTGCATTGATATATGTATGGTGGAGCACAAGCATAATTCTTTTTATTCGGTTTCCAGGCGTTTGATTTTCCTTGCCCCTTTTCTATAGACTCGACAGTCTTACAGATATGAAAATCACTACTTTTAAATTTATGCAACTATTGCATATCAACATGAAACATTCCCTCAAAAACGACAACAAGACTTAATATAGCTGCATATTTATAGAAGAATTACACGCTATCACAGTGCATGATTCGTAAAATGGGACCGTCTGACAATTCCTCCAATTGCGTTAAAATGTCCAATATTTCATTAAAATGACTTTTAAAGGGGTCATGAATGGAGAAATCTTTTTTTCTCTGATCTTTTGACATGTAAAATGTCATTGTACTAATAAAATATCCTTTAAGTTTAAGAACGCAAAGCTTCCTCGTTAGTCCAAAAACGGTTCTTTGTCTCAAAATCATATTAAATTCAATTTGTTCATCATATAAAGTGACCGAGTCTCATCAGAATATTTTGACCAAACCTCTCAAATCATTTGGATTTGGATTTGTGAGTTCATACGAATTAGCCAACTTGTAAAATATGTATGATTCAGCAAAAATCTTAATCCGCATGTGTGAGGTCGAACGAATTGTTACGAATTAGCCACCTCGTAAAATTTGTGCGAATTGCCCTGAGATCGGGTTGTTTCTTCCCTATCGTGACATATATCAAAAATTACTGCACAAACAATAAATGTAGGGCGGGATTTGATTGGGTGGTTGTGGTTTGCTATTGGTCGATTTCATGTGAGTGGCAGGTTGCCTCGTCATCTCGCCAGTAGAGAAGAGATGTCACTGCAAGATGGAGAGGGTTATTTTCATTAAAGATTATGAGGACACACACTATAAAATCTAACATTGCTCTTACTAAGAATTTTTTTGTTAAGTTTACTTAATTTCCAATAATTTGTTGAACTTACTTAAAATTTCTTAGTAATCTGTACTGTTTGAATGATATGCCTTATACTCAGTTTGAGTTCCATTTTTTTAAATGATTTAATTAATTGACCGTTACTTTTTTGCGGTCTCTTGTAAGTATAACCCCAATAACGATATAGCAAATAAAATGTAATGGTAAAATAAAGCCAAAAATAGAAAAACAAAGCAATTAATTTATTCATGCCACAATGCACTGGGAGAACACTTCCTCAGATCACAGAATAAGTTGACAAAACTTAAATGGATTAAGTAAGAATAACTTGATGCAATTAAGTTATGCTTACTTAATGAAATTAAGCCAATAATAAAATTAAGCATAATAAAATTAAGTAATCTGAACTAATTGTTTTTTACAGTGCATGTATTATACACGGATAAATCATTTATAATAAACAATTACAGCAGTTTTCCATTAAAAAAAAACAAGAACTGTCCATTTTGGTTTCAACTTTAAATCGTGCAGCCTATGATCTTTATCACCTTTTGAATCACATTTAATGTGCACTGAAATGAAACATTTAATTGAAATTAAACTAAATGGAATTAAAAATAAACCAATAAATGTTTGATGATTATTAAATTATTGCATTTTTGTTTGAAGAAATTATGCACTACATACGTCATATTGAAAATGCTAATTAAGAAATTTACTAACTGAAATCAAGCAGCAAATACTTGTTTCGTAAATATTTTTATCATTTCATAAAAATGGGCCCTATATGGAGATCACTGTACTTTCCCTTTCCCCTTATATAGAGGAAGGAAAAGTACAGTGATCTTTCCATTTCTCCATAGTAGGGAGGATGACGTCGACAGGATCTCTAAAGTGGGGAGTGAAAAGGGTCCAGAAGAAAGGGCAGAGAGAATAAAACTCGCGATAATGAGAGATGAAGACAAATGATAGCTCGTTTCAGATCCGAGATCTGAGGCGGGAAATAGAATCTACGCTGTGCTCATAAGGATAACTGAGTGACAGAGAGAAAGTTTAAAGAGCAGCCTAGGGGAGAGTCTTAGAGCGAGCTTGAGATTTTCATCTCATTCTTGGTTGCAGCCTCCACTGGACAGCAGCCGTAGGTATGTCAACCTCTTCTGAGAGGAACATGATTTTAGACTTTTCTGTGTGAAATAATTCAGTTTGAGAGAAAATTGGGTTGTTTTGAGCGTGCATCTGTCGGAACATTTGAAGCATCATTCAAAAAAAAAAAAAAAGAAAAGAAAAAAAAAACATAAGTCAGCGAGCTATAGCCTATCTGAGACACCTGATACCTCAGAGAATGGAGACAGAAAGTTTTAAAGACCTGTCTGTGTGCGGTTAGACACGATGTTTCCAATCGATTAAGTCTACTACTAATTTATGTCTTTATTCTACAGAATGATGACGAGCAGCAAAACGACTCTTGCCTTCCTTATCTACGGGCTCCTCGTACAATGCAACGTGTGTTCGCCTCTGAACCATCCGAACATCAGGTATGGAAACTGCAGCTCG